TTTGTAACTTTTGGAGTGTTCATTTATGGCTTAATCTTAGTATCTTGCTTGACATTCTTAATATACTGCCATGATAACCTTTACTCACAGTAATTATCCCCTGAATGATAATCGTATCATCCTACATGGATACATAATCTGCAGAGCATTGTATCTCTTTGCAGTGATGAGAAATATTTGCAGTTTCAAGTAGATGGAAATCTCCAGTATGCATGCCCAACATGCCGAGGGGAATGTTATCAGGTCTGATTGATTGTATCAAATATGACTGCTGAAAAAAGAACTTTTTCCAATGCCCTTGCCGTGACATTTTTCCTTGAATGTTTTCAGGTTAGGAATCAAGAGGAAGCTATTCAGGAGCTTTGGAGGAGGAAAGATGAATCTGACAAGGAAGTGATTGCAAGTTTGAGGGCAGCTGCTGGATTGCCAACTCAGGAAGAAATATTTTCAATTTCACCTTTTTCTGATGATGATGATGATAGCCCCATTGTATCAAAGAATGAATTCGGTCGTTCATTGAAATTCTCTCTCAAAGGTATGGCTGAAAAATCTCCCATGAAGAGCAAAGATTATGGGAAGAAATCTTCAAACAAGAAGTATGGTAAGAATAAAGGACATAAGGTATCTTCAGCTGGTCAAATAGAATCACATATGGATTTTCAAGGCCGGCATAGTGATGCTCCATCTGGTGGATGTAGTGCTGGTGATGTAAATAATGATGAAATGAAGACTTATAGAGGTGAAGAGCCGGATTCTTCTCCTATTGCTGGAAACTTGACAGATGGGATATGTTTTACTAATCAGGCTGGGGTTGTAAAAAGTGAATACATAGATATGGTTGCTGCTAACAATGGAAACAAGACTTCTATCCAGATAAAAGGCAGCAAGCACCAAAGTACCAGTGATGAAGATGTTGGAGCTCATAAAAGCATGTCTAAGACCACCAAAGGACCAAAGCTTGTCATACATTTGGGCACATGGAATAAACTTGTATCTGGTTCGCCTAAGTCTGATGTTTCCAGTTGTCAAAGAGATCAATACTTGCCTACTTCAAATGGTATGTCTTCATGCTATGATTTTCTATTTATTAATTTATTTATTTTAGAGCATATGGGATTGACCTTAAGTTCTTTAGCTTAGTTAGCCATTATAGTTCTGTAATTTCATTTCACTTTATTAATTTGTGTGAGAAGTGATGAGTGTAAATAGTAACTAAGCACCCGCTAAGGATTTAGTGCCTAGTTGGAGACTAATCATGGGTAGGTAATATCTCAGTGGAATAAGATGGGATCTAAGCATAAATGTGATATTAAGTGGCAGAGGAACCTAGAGTTAGGTGGGGATTAGTTGGGGCTATGTAGGGATTATTCCACAATGCTTGAAAGTTAAGCTCTCATCATCACAATCATAAAGTTGGTCCAATCTTCAACATCCTTTTTTGCTAGCTTTGGAAATTCCTGCTCTGAGAACAATGTTGTATTCTTGCATAATGCGTTTGAAATTTGGAATGTTATGTAGTCCCTTTGCGCCGGTTTGCGGCCCCATCGTACAAGCTTTTTTTAGGTTCTAAGATTTTCTTCCCGTTTCTTTTAAGGAAAGAGTTTTGTGGTTGACATTGCTTCTATCATTTCTAAACAAACCTCATACTTTCATTTTCTTAATAAGCGTTCCCATTTAGGCGGGAAGTAAATTATATGATATTAGGATGGATGGAGTACTTATATTATTGCAGTACATTTGTTATCCTTTTGCTACCTCTTGTAGTCTTGACTCTTGTACTTTTGCTTGAGCACTAGATGGAGCCAAAATCTGGGCGATAGCTTGCAACAAAACCACTTAATTGAGTTCCAAAGTTCCCTGTCAATGTTTTGTTAATGCTGAGCCAACTTGCTAACAAATTTCTGTAAATGGTCTTGAATATCTCTAAGCATCATCATTTTGCATTCCATATGTGAGTTAGAAAAATGAGGTGATTTTAGACCAACAATTTGGTTCAAAATGAAGTTTCAAAAGAATCTGTTGCCCTTCCTGATTCCTGATATTTTTTACATCGTGTGCTCGTTGCAATAGGGGGTGATGATATGGGTCAAAAGAATCTGAGTGAGCACACAGAAAGGAATGAAATTGCAGCAGCAGGTGGAAAAGGTAATTAATATCTATAAAATCTCATGATCGCGCCATTATTATTATTTTTAATTGTTGATGGTCCCTTCCCTTTTATAATGCTCATGATGAATTCATCTTCTATAATGAGCCAAGATCATCTCAACCAAACGCAAGGTCAAAAAGTTGGGGGAAAAGAAGGTCCCTTGATAAAGATAAAAAAGCCTAGAACCGAAATTGTCGATAGGACGACTGTCAAAACTGGGCAAAAATCTACTGACGGATCATTTGTGGGGAAAAGCATGGCTGCTGCAAGGGCTGTGACCCAGCTTCCTGCCCATCGAAGCAACAAAGTATCATCCATGAAACAAGCAGGAGGAGAACCTGATGGTTTGCATGTCGGCGATGGAAATAATGCACTCACTCATTCCATGCAAAAGGATCCTAAACGACCGTTAAAGCTAAAATTCAAGAATCCGTACCCCGATGTGCAGAATCAATGGGCATCTACGGAGGAAGAGAAAGGTGTGATAAAGGGCCAAAGATCAAAACGAAAAAGGCCATCACTTTTTGGAGAGAACTCATCAGCCACTGCTGATTCGCGACGGTATGGAGATAATTCATTGGACGAGATGATGGATGCTAATTGGATCCTCCAGAAGTTGGGAAAAGATGCGGTTGGAAAGAGAGTAGAAGTTCATTACCAATCTGATAATACCTGGTAAGTTTCTAGTCAAATTAATATCATCCCACGAGTGTTATTCTACTTTCCTCTCTTAATCTTGTTCTTTTTTGTCTTGGTATTCCAGGCATAGAGGAAAAGTAACAGAATTCTTTGAAGGGACATCAGTTGTGGCTGTCACTCTGGATGATGGAGATACCCAGAATGTAGAACTAGGGAAACAAGGAATCCGGTTCGTCCCACAAAAGCAAAAGCGGTAATTAATCATTGGATGTTACTTTGTACATTAGTCAGATTTGAGGATGTTAGGGGTGGTTCAAAGAAAAAAGAGGACGCGACCCAAGAAGACAGCCGTTTTCAGGTTGGTGGGTTTATTTCTTCCTCTTGGTGCCCTCTTTGCAGCCATTTGAACCCCTCATAGCCTAACCAAGAATAATCACAGCCAAATCAGACACTGTCTTCATAGATATATAAAGAGCCAAGTGCGCGTCCGACCGAATCTTTTTGAATTTCATTGGTTTCTCTACGTTTCTTTCTGGTTTCTTGTCTTTCTATGTACTCCATAGTACAGATTAGATTGCATGTTTTGGCCACTCCTTTTAGGGTGTGTCAAGACAAACGAACAAACTCAAGACTGTAAATTTGTGTAGCAATGAGAACCGCCGCTGTGGCCATCCTTTTGAACATTCACACACAATGTGCTTTCCCGGTATGTTTATGTAGCTTCACAAGCCTTGTTGATCATTGATGGACCTCTATATTCCAATTCTGGTGGTAAGTATAGATTTATTTTATTTTATTTTATTTTATTTTATTTGAATATTTTTATGCTAGCTCTCAGGATTTAGTTCAAAATTTCTCTTTTTGGGGTGTGCGAAATTGAACTGTCTACTTGCGTTATTGGTAATCGAATGATGAGAAATTATCCAAAATGCTCCTAGAGAATAATGGGCATGTCAAGTGTGTTGGCAACCATGGAGTATATAAGTCAATTACATGGGCTTTTTTGTCAACTTTTTTTCTTTGAAGAAGTTGGACTGGCGTTTGGGAATGCCTAATACTGTAATTTTTGCAAATGTGTTTAATGGTTTCTTCCAAACGTCTGATGTACATATACTGTGCTAAAAACTGTCCAATTGTTAGTAGAATAGAATATAAGAACAAATGGCATTGTACTTATATTAAGGTGTCTCTTTTGATTTATGATGCTTGATTGACATTAACTATATTATTTTATCGAATGACTAACGAAAATCAGCAAAAGAAAGTGAATAAAGTTGATGAAAAAATTGCTCTATATGCAAAGCAAAATTTTTGAGCATGTTGACGAAAGTTTCCAATAAATCGCGACTCAATCTGAAGAAGAATGATGGACGTTCAACACTATGCGTCTATGTTGGTCTCTTGATGTTTTTGTTGAGCAAGTCTCACAAAGCTTGAGGAGGGTATTAATGCAACATTTCGTTCAACTTATTTTTTCTGCTTATTATTCTTATTAAAATCAAATCATACCAGATTAGGTCAAATCAGACCAGACCAGACAGATCAAGTCAGGTCCAAGGTCTAATCGAATCAGATCTAAACAAAATTATTATTAGTATCATTATCATTATCATTATTATTATTACTATTATTATTACTGTTATAATGGTTATAATTATAACTCCCTACGTCCCAAATTATAATGCATGTTCACATGGTCAAACTTCAGTCACTTTTTTTTCTATTTTCGTTAGCAATTTGATAAAATAAAGTACTATAATCATTACTAGTTTTGTAGATCTTTTGATGTAGTATTTTAATACTCCCTCCGTCCCCCTAAGATGTTCTCATTTTGACTTTTGGTGGTTTTTAAGGAGAGTTGAAAAAAGGTGAAAGTTTACCATAATACCCTTAATGAAAAATGGGTGGAGTGTATTAAATGAAGTTGGTAAGGTGTAATAAATAAAGTAAGTGGGGGTAGTTGTGGTATTTTAATTGTTAAAAAATGAAATGAGAAGAACTATTGTGGACAAAGAAAAAGGACTATTGAGAAGATCTATGGGACGCGGAGAGAGTATGTAATTTTATTTTTTAAATTTATACCATTTGTCATATAAAATAATTTTTTAACTTTATATCATTTGTCATATAAAATAATTCAAAGTACCATACATGTACACACTTTGGTTAGGGGGTTAGGGTACACACATAACACATGCATATTGACCCTATTGGGGAAAAAACAATTTTACTATAAGGAGAAATTCGAATCTCATGAGGTACAATTTAACAACAGCCAAGATCAACCATACTACTTTCATTGGCAACCATTCAGTTCACTCTGGTGACATGTCATTGTACACACTAGAAAAGGAAAGCTCTATGAATCAATAATGCACACTGTATACATATATATGTATATAAAAGTACCTAATTCTGGACATGAACATTGCACAGATAGTAGATACAGTAACATTGTACAGTGTGGGGAAACCAAAAAAACGTTTTGAAAACAGATCATATATTAGTGATGACCCCAACTAGCAGTTAATCCCACATTCTTGGACATCTGGGCCAGTGACCCTTGTAGTGAAGGGGTCAATTCGGACCCAAAGCAGAGAGAAGATGGAGGCAAGAAGGATAGACCAGACGACAACAATGGTGGGGGTGCGGTTCTGGCGCCCCATGAGACCCTTGAGGAACGGGTAGAGGTGAACGATCACCCAGAAGGCAAAGAACAGCTTCCCGAAGAGCGGGCCCCACGTCTGGTAGCCGCTGTTGATGGCGTACGAGATCCCCGCGACGACGCCGACCAGGTTTATGACGAGGAGGGTGGTGGGGGGTATGAGGAGGGCCGTCCACTTGAACATGTACAGCTCCGCAAAGTCCCCGTCCTCGTCGGACGCCTTGGAGGTGACCGTGAAGTTGGTGTCGATTCCGGCGAGCACTTTGAGCAGCCCTTGGACGACCGCGAACAGGTGGGCCGAAACGCCGCCGATGACCCAGAACTGTTCGTTTCTCCACCACTCGTCAATCCCAACGCCGCTCCACCTCATCTCGAGTATGCCGGTGGCGAAGATGGATAGGAAGAGAGATATAAACCAGATACTGGCAAGGTTACTGATCTGCAACCAAAAAAAAGACATTGGTTGGTTAGTTTGAGCACACAGTTGATCTGGTTTAGTCTGATCTGATTGTAGTTATATTTAAAGCTGTTCTGGTCTGATTTTAATATGAATAAGTAATAAGCTGAAAGAATAAGTTGAACGGAACGCAGCCTTAGAACAGTGTCCCCCACACATCGTTGGAGCATGCAGAATCAAAAGATATTAGATGTCTCCAGCAAGTGAACAAGGGACAACTGCATTAGAATGATTGATTTAGGGGTTAACATGTGAGAGCAGATATGTTGAAACAAACCTGTGGAATGATAAACTTCCCAGTGAGTAGACAAACAGCAGGGAGAGTGCAGTAAAAAAGAAGAGGGATAGAAGTGAGGGGATAAATGGTTGTGTTGACGTAAGATAATCTCTCTAACCACTTCAGCCTTCCAGTGTACCCGTACCATATAGGACAATGCCTGCTGAAAAGAATTTCAACAGACCCCAAAGCCCATCGAAGCACTTGGTTCAAACGGTCAGAAAGATTAATAGGAGCAGACCCTTTGAAGGCAGGCCTTTTAGGCATGCAGTAAATTGACCGCCAGCCGCGGGCATGCATTTTGAACCCTGTAAGAATATCTTCTGTGACAGAACCATAGATCCATCCTATCTGCACGTGTTGCAAGAAAGCGTGAGCTCAACTAGCAACTTCCATTTAGTAAGTGGAATTTCAAATCAATTTATGGTATGTTGAAGATCTTAGATTTGGATTTCAAATCCGGATTTTGCCCAAATTCCTTGTTTAGAAACTTTAAAAATTTGGACACGGAGAGTCAAAATACACCATAATATAAGGAAGTAAAGGAACACAGTAATTAGACTCGTATTTAAGAAAAGCCTGGTCAATTCTGTCTTGGGCTGATTTTTATAAACAAAATAGCGTAAAGCTGGGTCTGTACCCTATATATTTGGCCACTTGTCTAACTCTAATCCTGACTTGTGCATTGAGAATGTCTTTAGTCCTATCAATCTACATTTCAAAGCAAGTTATTTATCTTGCCCAAGAAAATCATCTTTGATTTCCTAGATGTTGGATGTTAAAAAGTATGGCAGACTAGTACACCCTTACATATGACTGAGGCAGAGAAGACAGACAAGCATACCTCCCTTCCCCATTCTGTTTTATCTTCATACCCACAACTGATAACATGAATTGCCTCTTTGAGAAGATTCTCAGGAGTAGCAGATTGAGGAACACCGCCATTCTCCATAAGCGTAGAAGCAACAAAAACAGCAGACTGGCCAAATCTTTTTTCAAGGCTCACTTGAGACATGAGCAGTGATTTCTCATCATCAAATCCAGCCCCTATTGGAAGATCAAAAGGGTCTTTTAATAAAAACCAACCAAAAAATAGTTATTGGCTCTGACATGGGGAGCAATGCTCCAGTAGGGTCAGGAGGAAATTGATCATACCTCTAGCTTAAGAGAAGGGCATTTCAGAATCTTAGCCCTAGCTAACGAGAGAGAGAGAGAGAGAGAGAGAGAGAGAGAGAGAGAGAGAGTTACCTTCAACTCCTTCCTCAATATCTTCCAAATTGAACACTGGAACAGTGGGATCCAAGTGCTTGCTAGATTTCTTCTTGTCTGAGCCCTTCTTACTTGACTCGGAACGTTTCTTTCTAGACCCACAGCATAATGAAGACAAAATGCGTGATTTTTTATGCTTTGGCTTGATAGGAGGGTCATAACCATATAATGCAGTTCTGTTGAAGACACATCCAGTACCCACATAGACAGGTCCTTGAATGCCATCCAAACCTCTCAAATTCATCTGTTTCCACACAGAGAAGGTCAGATCACATGCAACTACACCAGCAAGAAACACATGGAGGGTTTCCAAACACCATAGGAATTGCTTATTGCTTTTGAGCAATATTAGTTTTTGGTATTGGCTATAAGATCTTAAATAACCACTTTTTCTCACCTTTGAAAGTCAAAAAGCAAAAACATGTGGCTACCCACTTATCAATTTCTCAAAACTGCTTATAAGCAGCTTTTAACATACAAGTCAGTCCATGACATGTTTCTCTATGCTTATAAGTTGACTTATAAGTTGCTTATAACTCACAAAAAATTAAGTAGCTCTTACCTATTTATTCTTAAGTCCATTGGTTCATTTCTCCATTTTGACCAATTCATTTATAAAATGATCCCTAATCTTTTATGAATATTCCCAAACGACTAATCTTTCATTTGAGTCACCTTACAAAAATACTTCAATAAGCAACTTCTAGGTAAAAAACTAATCAGCAATAAGCCAAAAAGCCCTAACACAGAGAAACACCGCCTAACAACTTTCCTATTTTTGTCCTCACTAACATTTTTTTCCTCTACTACTTAGGAACAATTATATCTTTTACCCATAAATTAAGCACTTAAGGTGTTTCGGTTTGCTAACACACATAAGCATTTGACCAGAAAATTATACTTAAACATACAAACAATACACACTTTCACTTAAATAACCACTTATATATTCCACATAAACAAATGCAAAAATGTAATTCTTGAAAACACTCCCACAGTTCACAACTGAGCATGATCATGGTAAGGAGATAGATATGTCACTTAGATGTAGTCGTAAAAGAGGTCAGAAAACATACATCAAAGAAAACAGTGTTACGGTTGGCATATCGATCGTTTCTATCAATACCATCAAATCTTTGTGGAAACTGAACATAGCAGACATATTTTCCAAGATTAGGATCCATCATAAAGCACATTGCTTCCCTTAAAGCTTTGCTGTTGTTTATGTAGTGATCACAATCAAGATTCAACAGGAACGGTCCATTAGTAAGAACTGCAGACACACGAACCTGCAGGGAGAGTTCATGAGCATGATGCCTAGAAGCATACATAGATTAAAAAGCTAAAGTACACACTATAAATTCTAACTACTTACAAGAGCATTCATAGCACCAGCTTTCTTGTGATGCTGAAAACCTGGACGCTTCTCACGAGATACATAGACTAACCGAGGTAGCTCATTACCATCTGTATCAAGACCTCCACTTTGACCCAAAAAGACCTGGATGAAGTAAAATCAGTAATGTCTACTTTGACAGAAAATGTTTCTACTCGGATACCTATATAAAATACTCATGCCAAAAAATGTTAGCAACACCTAATGCCAAACAATATATTTGCAGTATAAGTATCAACGCTTTTAAAGGTATGAAAAATAAGCTATACTTCCTCTGTCCCAAGAAAAAGGTTTCACCTATGATATGTTGATATGATTTGGTAGGGAGATTTAAAAGTGAAATTGTATAGTGTAAAGTGATGCAGAGGAGAGAAATTATAAAGATCACAAATTTCTTTCTAAAAGTGGAAAGTGGAACCTTTTTTGGGACAAACAAAAAGGAGATTATGGGACAGAGGGAGTATTATAATATAATGATATCCAAGATGGCAAAACATTTTTCATTGTATATTTTTAAATCTAACCAGCAAAATTGCCTCCCTCATAAAAAACACAAATATAGGAGGGTATATTTAATTAACTCATTAAATGTTACTCCTTCCGTCCCATAAAACTTTTCCACTCTAGAAAAAAAGGGATTTAAGGAATTGTAATTTTGATGTACCTCTCTAATTTTGACCTTTCTTCTATCATCTCCGATGAAGCTAAAGATTCACTATTTTGTCTTTGGGTATGATGAAATAAAGCGAAATGACTTTAAACTGTCTGCGCTTCTTTTAATAGTGGAGTAACAGTTATTCAATGCAACTTTTGACACTCATCATGGGTAATTCAGAAAAAAGCACTCTATGTTTTACACGTAGGAGTGAGGCTGCGTACATTCGACCCCCCTAGCCCACAACAAGCAGGAACCTGTGAGGGATTAGGGTAATGTTCTTGTTCTTGATGTTGTTGTACTTTCTTACTTTGACCTTACTTTATTGTAGGGTAGGATAGAATGTGATGGGTAGATTAACAATGAACAGATATGATGTGATTGCTAAGTTAATAATTAGTAGGGGTAGTAGGGAGATTTTAATTTAAAGTGAAAGTGTTTTTTTGGGACAGATGAGAAGTGAAAGTGTGAAAGGTTTTCTGGAATGGAGAAGTAAATTTTAAACTTTAGATTTTTTTACCCATCATAAATTAGAGTATTGAATGTATAATTTATTTCATTTCAAATTCTACACAACGAGCAATTTTCTAATTGAAGAATAAATATTTCTTTTTAGAAGAACAATTCTTCAAGTTGTATATCTCTGGTGTGCTACATGGATGCCATCGTGGCCACCTAAATGCTAGGCATACTGATTAAGTGGTCCAAAGTGGAACCGAATTAGCTTTATGCAGCCAATTTTTATTTTTCTACGTTATTTTTTTTTTATAATTTATATTTTCCTAAACGACTACTTTTATCCTTAGTATACAACAACATGCCAGTAGAATCCCACAACAACAAGGTTTAGGGAGGGTGTGTATACGCAAACCTTACCGAGTTACCCCTACTTAAAAGTAGAGTTTGTTTCCAAGGGAACACATGCCTTATACTTTTATCTGTAGTATAAAGAAACAGAAACCCTAAAAATGAGAAAAGAACAAGGTTGTTGAACTTGAGATTCTAGCTATGATCGGGGGAGGGGTGGAAGATTGTAAATTGGAGATCCTACAATACTAGTTTTTATGTAAGATTTTTAAATTCTACATATATGGAATAGTGGAGCGGTTCTGTTGACATTCCTTTACGGTGACACTAGAATGACAATGCTCCGTTCGCAATATTCATGGTTCCTACCATCCTAGCCCCCGGATGCTGACTGACAACAGTAGATTGAGGCAGTGTCATCAGATGATATTGGAAGGCAGTGTCATCGGAGGACATTGGAATGCACTATCATCAGATGACATTGGAAGGCAGTGTCATCTGATCTTTTTTCAGTAGAACAATTAAATATAAATAAATAGTCGTAATCATGAAATCAAAATTTGTAAACATTCAAACTAATAGTGTTGTCTCTCATCATCAAAACAACTTTTATCAAAACCTTACAGTAAATAATACTCCCTTCGTCCCAACAAAAAGCTCCTAATTGGGTTTGGCACAAAGTTTAAGAAAAATGAAATTTTGTGGTTGAAAGCGATGTAGAGGAGAGAAAGATGCTGGGCCACACAAAATTTGCCAAAAAATGGAAAAAGGAGTCTTTTTTTGGGACGTCCCAAAGGAAATGCAGAGTCTTTTTTTGGGACAGAGGGAGTAGTCGAACAGTAATAAATACAAGTCTGGCTTACTTAATTGAAGAAGACAAAGAGGGCTAAAGCACAATGAGAAGTATAAGTCTGAGCAAACATTGACACTGAGAAGCATTAACTGTTTTCTCAAGTGAAGGCTGCGAAGTAAAGATCATAGAGTAACCTAGGAGCTGGGTTGAGGAGTAGGGACACAAGGCAGACAACTGCTTTAAGTAGTTTGAAGTGGAACTAAATAAGCCTTAGGCAGCCAGTTTTTATGTTTAAAACGTACATATATGTAACAATTAAATTTAAATAAATACTCCCTCCGTCTTCAACTAATTGAGACCGTTTGACTTGATGTAGTTTAAGAAAAGTGTTGAAAACTAAAAGGTGAATGGTTGACATTTGTTTAGACATTTGTTTAGAAGAAAGAGAAGAAACGTGGATCACATATCCTTGTGCATTTTTGGTGCTTTTAAAGCTGGCCAAGTTACTTTATCAGGGAAGTAAAGAAACGCGCAAATTTCTTTGGGACGGCCAAAGAAGGAAAGTGTATGATTTAATTGGGGACAGAGGGAAGTCGTAATCATAACATCAAAATTTGAAATTAATAGTGTTATTTGTCAATATCAAAACATTCTTTTAAAAACCTTGCTGTAAATAATACGGAGTAGTTGAATAGTAATGAATAGAAGTCTGGCTTGCCTAAAAGATAAAGGGTGAGGAATAAAGATCATGAAGTGAGCTAGGAGTTAGACACAAAGAAGGCTGAGTATACATAGGGAATACTTCATCAAATTTAATGAGCGAGTGTACAACTTCAAGGTTAGGAAGACGTCTTAAGAGATTGGACAATGCTAACTGAAGCATGAAGCGGTACACCTTTTCCCTTTCTTCTCTGGATGACACAATTAAATTTGTTTTACGTCTATGATGGTTGGTGACCCAAACCACTGTCTATTTCCCAAGATCGAATTAAGCTGCGATCTAGCAATCTTACGATCCAGCCCGGTGATCTCAATGACAGATTTACAAAGCTCTGTGCAAATAAAGAATGCCAAAGGATGGATCAGATATCACGCTGCAGTCACCATCCATCTTTGAATCTCCACTCTTTGAGGCACTTCTTTGGAAATTTGTGCATGGAAGTATGGGTCCATAGCATATATGCACCCAATTTCCAAGGCAGCACCTAGGCACCAAGACACTAAACGTCTGGTCTCTGCCAACATGGCGCTCTCTAGAACATACATCTATCTCAATATAACAAAGATGACAATACTTAACAGCTGGGAGAGTAGAATTTCAACTAATAATAAACTCAAAGTCACCTGAATCATTCCTGGATGATCCCTGGTGTTATTTCCAGGCCAGGGTGTGCCATCTTGCATGATCCATCCTTCTTCAGGGACCTTTTGGGCTTTTGCAACGAGAGAGTTGATGTGTATTTTGAACTCTTCATATTCTCTCTGTAGGAGAAACAACTAAGAAGCATAAACGCATGCACTAAGAAGAAACATTTTTTCTTGACAAATAGTCTAATGCAGAGAAATATTTACCTTCATAGCCCTGCGGTCTTTCACAAAGGATGGATCAACTTTATCCTTCAAGTAATCAATCTTTTGAGCGAAGTACCATTCCGGAGCTCTAGGCTCAATATTGTATTTCTTGCAGAAAGGAACCCATTTTTTTGCAAATTCAGCTGTTTCAGATAGAGCTTCAAAAGTCAACATTGCAGCACCATCATCAGAGACATAGCAAGAGNTGTCGGGCTGGTCAGGAGGGGAGGGAGAGGGAGGGCATTTTAGGGAAACTACACCAATAGTCAACCCTTCAAAAAAATGAAGAAAAGTCCAAATGGGAAGTTTTTTCCCGGACGGAGGGAGTATTATTTATTTATTTTTTTCTCTCTAAAAATAATTTAAATTGAAATAATTCTCTCTTAAATAAATTATATTCATTCACTTTTCATGTGATCTAAGAGTTTTTCTCTCCAAATGTGATCTAAGATTTTTTTTTACATGTGTAGCAATTTATAAAAAAAATATTCACAGAAAGTAACAATACATAATCAAGAAAACATTAAAATTTCATTAACAAATGTACAAAAAAAACCTTATTATTCATTTTTGTTATGATTGTGGTTTGATTTAAATAAAAATACAATTAACAAATGTACAAATACAATATATCTATATTTTAAAATATTATTCAACACTTATATTCCGTATTTGATTTTTTAATTGCTCACCAAACAGTTGTGATTGTAATTTGATTTCATTTTGTTTTCTCCAAACATTTTTCTTTTATATTTCAGAACTCATTTATTATCTATCAGATTTCAGAACTCATATATTATCATATCTCCAAAACTCGTCAAACGGATCCTAAATGATTTAGGCCTCAAAATTGGAAATAGAGTTGTTTGAAGATATTTAAAATCCTAATTTAATTAGTGATAGATGGGTGTAACTAACAACGAGAATGGTTAGCAGTGACAATGATAGTCGGTGCTGGAGAATGGTCAATGTTTACACAGATATCAATCCCCAATATTCCATATTGATATACTTCGGAATAATCTAAGGACGTGTTTGGTGAGCAAACACGATATGTATTTTGATATCTCCAGATATCTGAATTCTTTCTTGATGTTTGGTAAAACCAAAAAAGTTATTAAATTCGATATCTCCAGTTATTATGAGATTTGATATCTTTCTCAGCCTTGATCATCCCTGCCAACTGTTATTATTGTCACCACCAACCACCACTTGCCAGTTTATACTAATTGAATCATTATTCTAAAATTTTTCAAACAAATTAGTTTTAAATATAAAAAATTCGGGAGATTGAATGATTTCCTATATGTATTTTTGACTTCAACAAACATCATTTCTCTCCAATTGTGCATGAAACCGCGTGCAGCTGCAGCCTCGATCATCCGCCGTCGATAATGGTGCGTTCTACGTCTCTGACAACTTCAATTACCCACAACGATTCTGCAATTTGAAATTCGTTCTTTTCTATTTTGTTTTCTCTTTCTGATTTTTTATGTTTATGTTCTGAAACATTTGAATCGAGCACTTGAGCCTCTCTCTTTTCATCCGCTTTAAGTCGGAATATAAAATTAGATCTAGTTGTTGAAATGCGACATGCCTGATCTGCGTACAAGCCCAGAAAAGATCAAATAGAGATTTTGACTATTGGTACCTACCTTAGATGCTGATGATTTCTCTTCATATGATATGTTTTTTTTTCCACTTAATTTTGGGTGGTTAATCTTCCTATTGTGTTCTTGACTAGTATTTTTTTTTAAAAGAGTCATGTTTCACTAGGATGCAACTTTTTTAGATCTAGTAATGTACAACTTTTTTTGGATCTAGTAAGGTACAACTATCTACATTAGAATTCATTAATTATAGTTGTACTTTTAAAATTATTTACTTCTTTCGTCTTGTATTTAAGTTCGGACTTTGACTTTCATGGAGTTCAAGGAAATGTGAAATTGAGTTGTTGAAATACGGAGTATATGCAAATGAGAGAGAAATGATATGAATTGCACAATCCACTTCTTTAAAAAGAATGTGAACTTTATTGTGAGACGTTCGGAAGAGGAAAATTGGAACTTAAATTTGGGACGGAGGGATGATTAGTTTAACAAAAATTAACATGTTTAACTTTCTTGGGATATTTTTTTTTGAAATAGTACATTAGACGTAATCGAGCACTATTGTCTTGATTTGTGCTATGAACACACACGTCTGCTTTTCCCTAGTTCTACGTGTCTCCCTTGTATGGCTTGCTAAAATTTTATTCTTAGACTAGGTCTCGCTGTTGCGGAGATGCATAAAATAGATGAATTTGTTAAAATTTCTTAGTTGAGTTATTGAGTGTTTTGTTTACTAAAGGTGTTTTTTTGTACTTTGAATTTGAATGAAATAAGATATAAAGGGTTAAGGGAAGAAGAGTAACACTACCTTTTGTCTGCATTTATACCAAATAGTTAAGTTTAGATTACTGCATGCAGTTGTTGATAGGTCGAAACAGACAAATGGGTGTATGATGAGCAAAATAACTGTGTAACAAATGATTAGTCATATCTGTCATCTACCAAATGACTGCTTATTCTTTTCATATTTTGATAGAGTGCCACATATGCAGTTATTTTATGTTATTAATACTTATAGTAGAGTCAGTTATGGTCATTTGTTTATTGGGTCAAATGTTTTATTTTATAAATATTAGTTATTGAGTAGTAAATAATGTGTAATTGGGCCTAACTTGTAGGAGTAATTGCTAAGTTATGTGGTAGTGAGCCTAAAGTATAGGAATAGTTACTAGGTAATGTTGTAGCGTGCCTAAATTTTAGGGATTGATCGTTATTTGGCCTCTATATATATTGAGGCTCGTTATTTGTAGAAGTTTTCCAAGAAGTAATTCAATATTTATTATTTGAGATTCTCCTTGGCTTTATTACTTATATGAGTTTAAGATTCTTGCTCGTATTTTGATAAATACTTTTCTTTTATTATTTTATAAAGTTAGAAGCTGATTTCATAATTTAATAAAAACTTCCCTTCATTTATTCTCCCTGCCAGTCTTGGGTTCTATAATATTTCTTTTTTTAAACAATTATGTATTCCAATCCATCAATAGGCAGGAACAAGTAGAGGAATGTCAAGAAAAGATAAGCCAAGAGGGCGTCATCAAGGTCTGAATCAGAGGAAAAGGCAAGAGATCAAAGAAGCTTTTGAGCTCTTTGATACAGATGGATCTGGTATTAAGTTGTTTCTCCTAATATCTTTACCTTAAATGACCACATGTGTTAGAATCGGCTTTTAACATTTAAACTTGTAATCCTCCACAGGAACAATTGATGCCAAAGAGCTTAATGTTGCAATGAGGTTTAGCTATTTTCTATCGACTTGCTATATAACTACAATGGATAAGGACTAATAAACTAACTCAATCTCTTTCTTGCAGGGCCCTTGGCTTTGAGATGACAGAAGAGGTAAAACAAAAACAGAAGTTTCTCCTTTTTTCAGTTTTCATTTTAATGTAGGTTTCTCTTGTTTCCGAAATTTGTTTATTTTTAAATAATGCAAGATAAGAAAGATATTGAAATAGAATTTAGAGTCATTCACTTATCATTTACGGAGTATGTGTTTTAAGTGCGGTTCTCTTTGAAGCTCAAAGCTTATGTCTTTAACTAAATACAGTACTCCCTCCGTCCGGAAATATTCTTCCCATGTTGACTTGGCACGCTTATTAAGGAATAGTAAAAAAAATGCAAAATTTTCAAAAATGCACATACTATAAACTTTTAAATCTCCTTTTATTATTAAAAAAGTACTAAAAAAGTAGATTTGTGATAAAATAGAAGGGTATTATTGATATTTATCCTTAAAAAGTATACTAAAAAAGGAAATGGGAAGAATATTTCCAGACGGACCAAAAAGGAAAGTGGGAAGAATATTTCCGGACAGAGGGAGTACATCAAACTATTTTCTAATCAAATCCGAGTGGTATATTTGGGTACGCGTGGGAAGAAAGTTCCAATATTAGATTAGCACTGTTTGAAAATGAACTGTTAGTTGTTTGTGTTGCCCATTTGAGTAGTTACTCCAAAAGGCTTATAACGGCTGCTCCAAAATGCTTCTCTAAAAGCTTGAAACACATGTTTCTTGTAAATCAGTTTTTTGAGACCAAAAAACTCTCCCAGAAACTTACCAAATACTTCTAATAGTTTTCTTTAGTCCACAAAGCTCCTTGCCAAACATGCCCAAACTGGACTAGAATTTACAAAAAAACAAACTTGGTGTAAACCTTAACCTTTTTTTTTTTGGGGGGGGGATCAGTATGCTTCCCCTCTAAATTTACTTGATTTTACATGAAATTATTTGTATTTGACACTTTACTCCGAACTTGTTGGGTTTGTAATACTCCAACAAACCTTTGGCATTTTTATTACCTGTGTGGCTAACATTGACATTGCATGTGGATTTTCTATGGCAGCAAATAGAACAAATGATTGCTGATGTGGACAAGGATGGCAGTGGGGCCATTGATTTTGATGAATTTGAGCACATGTTGACTGCAAAGATTGGTGAAAGGGATAGTAAGGAGGAGCTAGTGAAAGCATTTCAGATTATTGACCATGACAAAAATGTCTGTTTTTCTTCTCTCTGCATTTTCAATAACTTGGCTCTTTTTTTTATTTTTAATCTTCTGCGCCCAGTATCCTCTCATCAAGACTAAGTCGGACCATGGCCTGGTAGGCTCCCCATATGTGACTCCATGCCCAATATGGAACCACATGAAATTCCCAGAGGGATCCAAAAATGGAGTCGACCACATGACCTCTCATTGGCATTTGCAGCTCCTAAAAAGTTGTGTCAGTCCGCGGGAGTGCGGGTCATGGCATGACTTATTTTTGCTTTCTTCGTGCCGGAGTATTTGCCTAGTTTGCCTTTTCCAGTCAAACAAGACCATCTTCGATCGTCAATTAAATAAAACTTGCATTGCATATTAGTACATTGAAATAATTTTTTGAGTGTCTTTTTGCAATATATCTCTAATGAAATCCTTTTTGTACTAATATGCAATATTATTTTTATTTAATTGATGATCAAAGTTCATCTTTGAGATGGAAGTAGTTGCTTTTAGTAGGTGGTGGGTTGATAATTTGAACACAACAACATTTGCAGGGGAAAATATCTGTGGCTGACATTCAGCGCATTGCCAAAGAGGTGGGCGAAAATTTTACCGAAGTAGAGATGCGAGAGATGATTGATGAAGCGGATCGTGATCGTAAGACTCTTTCAACACTCTGAATTACATACTACTTCCTATGCCCAAAATAAACTTCGAAATTATTTATGATTATATATAAAACAAATTATTTAAACCCAATATATTCTTAAAGTATATTTCAAAATTAATCTAGGGACATTAAAGTCAAATTATAACTCAATATTTTTTGATGGTAACCATGGCCAAAGCTTATAAATTTTGACGACAAAAGTCAAATTGTAAAGTTTATTTTGAGACGGGGTTAATTGTTTCGTTTCCTAGTTCTTAGAGTTTCTAGATGTTGATTTGTTTTTTTTCCTCTTTGGATTTACACAGGTGATGGTGAAGTGAATTTAGATGATTTTTTGAGGATGATGAGGAAGACTAGCTATGGGTACTAAGATTCAGTGCTAATAAACTATGGGTTCTTTAGTTTATTTAAGTGATGAATGAAATAAAGGGATATTTTAAGTTTCTAATAGAAATAGTAAAATTAGTGTTTGTTTCTTTAAACAATGAATGTAGTTTAAGGGTGACCGTTAACGCCGTTAGAACTGAAAAGGTAATTTTTTTTACTTCTCAAAATGTTACTAACTGTTAAGGTTGTACGGAGGATGTGTATTTGACTGCTATCTCACTACATCAGTATTGAAATGATATAATGTGTGTTAATTATAGATTGTTTTGACAATGATGTTTGAGTATGATTTGGTGTTGGGTCAATGAGTACATAAGTGTGATTCTTTGTTTGTTGTCTTTGTTCATTAAATTTTTTTGTGATGAAATTTATGAATTGTGTCTATTTTTTCAAATTAATGTTAAAGTATACAATATATAATGTTATTGGATCTCCATCATCGGTTTATATTTGTTGAGTTAGTTTCTTGATATGATTTCAAAACTTTGTTAGTTTAGAGATCACGAATATACAATACATACTCCGTATACAGGTATTGACTCCTTAGTGTTGCGGCATAGGTCGGGGGTGGGCGACGGCTGTCAGCAGTGTAAGGCCCAGGTAAGTACCTCTTCCCTTAACTATTCCCCAACCCGGACGAATCAGCCCCCCCCCCCTTCTGCCATCAGCACTTGTTGTCGTCGGCCACCACCACCACCAACAACCGCCACCCACCCACATCCTCACCTTCAAAACCCAGCTCCCTCAAAAGCACCCAGCTCTAGTCGCCACATACCCACAACAGTGCCCCAGCAGATCCCCCTGCCCATCCTCCGCCCTTACCACCTGTCCACTCCCTGCCCTATCCCAACCCCCTGCCCAACTTGTGGCCTTCGCTTCTCCCTTCTCTTTTACTGTTATTTTGGCTACTCCTGTTAGTCCTGTTTCACCTATTTGTGTTTTGGTGCTATTGTTGTTCATATTTCTAGCTATTTGATGTGCTACCGTACACTTTTTAATTTTATTGTCTATTTTTATTTTTATTTTATTGTTGCCCTTAGTTGCTTTTATTTTAGTGTGTTTTAAGCTTCTTGTCTGCTTTCCTCCCTTGGTGTTGTTGAGTAGGTGTAGTGGTGCTGGTTGGCAATGTAGGGACCATCACAGGTAAGTCAATTGAGCCAGTGCAAGTTCTCAAGAGGAGAAGAATTCAAGTGGCGTGTGTATAAGAAACTAGATGGGTGGGCACCAAGGCGCAAGAGGTAGACAGTTTCAAACTGTGGTATTCAGGCTTGCCTAGGGGAAGGCATGAAGTTGGTATTTTGGTAGCGCCAGAGCTACGAGAATTTGTGGTGGAGGTAAAGAGGATCAGTGAATGGCTGATGGCTATCAAGTTGGTCTTGGGCGGATGTGCAATCAATGTCGTGAGTGGCATAGCACGGATCCGGTGGAGGAGTTGGGATGGGGAGAAAATCGCAGAGTTGATCTCATTTGTGCAATTGAAAGGTGTGTGGGAGTCTTGCGGGGAGGCCACTGACATGTGGGTGCAGACTTCTAACTGCATCAGGGAAGTTGCCAGGGAAGTGTTGGGTGTGAGTTGTGGTTCTGTGAGTAGGCATAAAGGTGACTGGTGGTGGAGTGATTTGGTTCGAAGTAAGGTGGAAGCCACGAAGGTGGCATATCTGAGGTACATTGATTGTTGTGGTGATGATGATAAAGCAGCTCGGCTAGCGGAGTATAAAATTACCCGTAAGGAAGCTAAGCTAGAGGTTTCGGGGACGAAGAATGCAGCTTTTGAACGCCTCTAGAAGGATATTGAAGTTTAGGGTGTTGATAAGCAACTTCTCCGGCTAGCTAAGGCGCAAGAAAGGAAGGAACGGGATCTCGACCACGTGAGATGTGTGAAGAGCAGCGACGGTAGAGTGTCGATTGAGGCTACATAGGTGGCACAACGTTGGGCGGATTATTTTTGTGGCTTCTTAAATGCTGGAGGAGACCCGAGGTTCGAGCTAGGTATGTTGGGGTAGTCTGAGGCGCTTCGAGACTAGATATCGCCGGCGCATTAGACACGAGGAGGTTGCTCGAGCATTTCATGGGATGCGTAGTGGGAGAGCATTGGGGCCACATGAGATCCGGTTGGAGTTTTGGAAGCATGCGAGACGTGGTGGGTTGGTATGGTTAACCAAACTTTTCAATGTTATCTTCTGGACGGCTAGGATGCCGAATGAGTGGAGGGAGAGCATGTTGGTTCCTCTGTTTAAAGCTAAGGGCGACATGAAATTAACTAGAACTACAGGGGCATCAAACTGCTTAGCCAAACCATGAAGGTTTGGGAGCGAGTCATCGAGTATAGGCTGCGGAAAAGGGTGTGCATTACAGAGAATCAACTTCGTTTCATGCATGACAGATCGACCACAGAGGCCATTCATCTCATGCGGAGTTTGATGGAAGAGTATAGGACTAGGAAGAAAGATCTTCATATGATGTTCATCGACCTTTAGAAGTCATACGATAGGGTGCCAAGGGAGGCCTTGTGGAGGTGTCTTGAGTATATAAGAGTTCTTACACCTGCGTGATCAATGATATGTATTGTGGCGCAAGAACTAGGGTAAAGACCGTCGGGGGCGACTCTGAACCTCGCCTTAGTGATGGACGTCCTGACGCGAGGAGTCCAAGAAGAAGTTCCGTGATGCATATTTTGATGCATATTTTTTTTGCAGATGATATTGTGCCTATCGATAATACACGAGAGGGCCTAAACAAAAAGTTAGAACTTTGGCGCCTTTCCATGGAGACCAAAAGATTCAGACTCGGTAGGACCAAGACTGAATACACGGAATGTGGTTTTAGTGGCCAAGGGACAGATTCAAGAGTGAAAGTGAGGATTGTCTCTCTCCGAGTGCCCAAGATTGACAAGTTTCAGTATCGTGACTCAGTCATTCAGGCATATAAGAAATTAGATGGGGATATTGTGCACCATGTTGGAGCAGCTTGCACTAAGTGGAAGTGGACTTCAGGAGTGTTATGTGATAAGAAGATTTTGCTGAGGATGAAAGGCAAGTTCCACCGGGTTGTAGTCAGACCATCTATGCTCAATGGGGCGGAGTGTTAAGCATTAAGAAGATTCACGTGCAGCGTCTGCATGTGGCAGAGATGCGGATGTTGCAGTGGATCTGTGGACATACGAGGCTGGATAGAATTTCGGACGAGGTTATTCGAGGTCAGTTAGGCATGGTGCCAGTGGAAGATAAGCTTCGGGAAGCTAGGTTGAGGTGATTCGATCATGTCAGACAACATAATGCTGACGCTCTAGTGCGGAAATGCGAGAGGCTTGCGTTGGTAGGTGGGAAGTAAAGGAAAGGGTAGACCTAGGAAGAGTTGGAAGAAGGTCATTAGACAGGACTTAAGAATTTTTACTCTTATTAAGGATATGACCTTAAATAGGAGCATTTGGAGAGATATGATTAGAGTAACTAGCTACGTGCCTTGAGCTAGGGTGTGTTGTTGTGTGCTGTATAGGCCTTTAATACTTAGTGCTTTTTGTTGTTGCTTGCAATACTCTAATTTTGTAACTTTATTTAGTTTATTTCTTATTCTGTGTGCTTGGTATGTTATTGCATATGTATATGTGTCTTCCTTGTTTCCTGTATCTATGGTAGCCTTTTTTGTGCAGTTTGAGACGGGAGTCTTATGAAAAGAGCCTCTCTACTTTTGAGTAGGGACAATGTCTACGTACATTCACCTCTCCAGACTCTACTCTCGCGGGATCCAACTGTTCAAAATATAGAGGAATGCATGTTGATACTATACAAAAACGATAATCTTAAATTTTATTTATCACAAGTAAAAATAGTACAATACGAAATTGAGTTTAAATCAACATTTAGTACATAAAAAGGATATCCGAAGTGTGATTGTGGTATAATCGTCATTTCTCGTTGTTGATGCTTTGTTAGCAACAATGTCTCCACTGATTCTACTCTTAGTTTGTGTACGGTATTTTGTCGAAGTGTTCCCACTTTGACATAGATAACCCTTGCTTCCAATATACTTCCACCGTCCCTAATTTGATTACAAATTAGAGTTCACGAAAAAAATCTCACTTTTTGATATTATTTTATTTATAAATCGGCATATCAACAAGATATTAAAAGGATAAAAAATTCTAGAAAACAAAAAGTGACACAAATATTTTGTTTATCAAATACTCCGTACTTAATAAAATTAAGTAAATATACAAAAATTATCGCGAGTAGAGAAAAAATTATAATCAATATGGAGACGAAAGGAGTATGTTTCTTTTCTTTTTACCATTGAAAAATGTTGAACTCACTATTTTTATCATAGTCACAAAAAAAATGTTAAAAACAAAGAAAGCTCGTTAATACGGAGTAGAAATTTTAAAAGTATTTTTTTCCTTGCTAAAAAAGACTAACTTCTTATTAGCATCCGAAATATTACTATAAATAATACTCTGTATGAAGTATGAGGAAACGTTGTACTCCCCTCGTCCTTGTCTTTTTTGTCCACTTCCATTTTGGCACAAATCAAGGAGAGGGTTAAATTAGATGAAAAAGTCTCAAATACCCTTGTTTCTAAATTCCACAAAGAATCATATCTAGCCTCTTCACCGCTACTTGACGTTATCTTCAAATTGAATGAACCTATTAAATTCACCCATTCCAATCGCAAATCAATGTTCATCCTCGTTGGTTTATTGACCTAGAATTCGCCTCACCCTAACATCTCCTATTTTTCTCCAAGTACTTTGGACACATTAGGGTGCGGTGAATTCTAGGTCAGAAAACTAACGAAGATTTAGATGAAGTGGAAGCAGGTGAAGAGCCATAAGCGAGGTCTACCCATGCCCCCTCCTAATGTCTCCTACCTTACAACAACAATTCAACACACACTTTCAAAACATCAATGCAAACAGTACAAAAAGATGCAATCAAAATATCAAAATCAGTCTGCAACTCATCTCTTAATTTGTTGTGTGTCCTGCATTGCTTAGAAATGCTTACATTTAGAAATTCTAAAACACTTATTAGGCACAATGGTAATAAAGCTGCTAAAAGGACACTATGGTTCCTTTTTTGGTGCCACCTGCTTTTGATTATAATCTTCATGTGGATAGTGCAAAAAGTTCTTTTCACATGTTCAGTAGCCAAACAATAAATGACCTTACACAACTGAAACCTGACAAAATTAGCCCTGCTGCTACAACAAGCAAAGAGGGGAGGGGAAGGGGGNGGGGGGGGGGGATGGGGGAGTCTAATGCCACCTATCCAAATCTACATACAATCCAAGAAATGATTAACTTAAAAAAAATAACCAAGTTTTTTGGGTGCAAATATATTAGAACTTGAACTGAATATCCAAATAATAGCATAGCATCACATCAAATGGTAAGTTCAATACCTTGGTAAAAATATCTATCCCTCAGTTTTACTCGCACCCACACCACCGGCACCATTGCTTTGTTTGGCAACATAAATCTGTTTGACTCTTGTAGACGAAAACCCCCTTTCTGGACCACCAAACGACTGGTTTCTACCATGGAACCCCGTTCTTCGATTGCGGGACCACTCATGATTCCTTTGAGACATTCCACTTGCCATCCCCCTATGATAACTATTATAGCCACTAGAATAACTCTGATGATGATGATGATGATGATGATGATGATGATGTGAAGGGGATAGATTCATCTCATGCCGAGTAGGCAGTGGAGACATTCTGACACCACTTGAGGTAGTGTGCTGGACTCTATTAATATCACTATTATTGTTATTACCACTCTTCCCGGCATCATCTAAAATGGCACTTGCTGCAGGATTCTCTGATGATGGACCGCCAAGTTGATCGGGAAACTGAGCTGTTGGGCTATTATTGATATTATTATGATCATTATTAACTGATGATGAAACAGGAAGCGTTGTCAGGCAACTCTCCGGTGGTGTTGATGTTGAAAGAGCATCCGGTGGGAACCTACTACCAACTGGGTGCCGCCCGTGGTCTAATGGCGCAGGTGGTATGACCTCTACCTGTTGCTGTGGTTGAGAGGGAGCAGAGTGGAGAGGTGACGCTGCTGAGTGGACACTAGACCAATGCATGTCGGGTGGCGGCCGCTAAGATTAAAAAAAACAGGAGAATAAGATCATAGTAAATGACGGGTACACAGTACGCAAGCAATATGTTCAACATTAGTTTGATTCACACTGCACATGAAGTTTTAACTTCTGAAGTTTAGGGTCTATTTTGAGGGTTTTGGAGAGGAAAGCATATGTGGCCAGTTTGGTATTTTTGTGGCTTTCAAGGCATAGTGCTTCGCGCTCCAGAAATAACTATGGTAATATTAAAATGTGTAGTAACTAGAAAGCTCCAACCACAAAACAACTCTAAAGTTGCAACTGTTGAAGGATGCCCAACTTTTGATGATATTATTAGTTATTTAGTTTAATGAAAACAAAATCTCACAGCACCTCAACCCCAACATTGCCTGCTCTCAAAACTTCTGTCAAAAATTACCAAACAGGATTTTTCCCCTAAGCACATTTCAGTCAAAGTTTATATATCTTCTTACTGAGCATGTTTTCTAGAACAAAAATAATTAATAAAAAAAGGAGGTTGATATGCTAAATGGGCATTATGGCGAACAATTATGTTAACCCTCAATTTTATTAAAATCTCAACTATACATTTCAAAATAGAGACAATCCTCCATCCAAATAATCCTTAGGATAAGTTTTGAATGGAGGGTTTTAGAAAGAAAACTTTGGAGAACCCAGATGAAATGTTTTGTAACCACATATTGTGGTAATTGCTTCAATTTTATAAAATCTCATATATAATCCTTTCTTGGATTCTATGAATTTTCGGCAGGATGATCTACATGCTAGCATCTTTAAATCCAATGGTGGGTCTTGTATAAAATCAATCCGAGTAAGGATCATTCTCACTTGAACCGCACCCTATACACACACACATTTGGAGGGTTTTATTAAAATATAAACTAATCCCATCAAAGACTTCCCTTTCAAATCCCTCAACAACCATCACCCAAAAAGATCCTTATACATTCTCGAATATCTCGGGAAATCCTCGTGTATCTTTTGCGATGTAAAGGGTTAATTATTCTAGATAATTGCTAGTTCCAAAAAGAATTTAAAAAGGGCAAGAAAAGCTGTACTGGAAATTCTATTTACCTGAAAAGGAGAAACATCAAACATGGCCAAGGGAGAACCCATAGGAATAAGTGGTGATCCAGGAGCAAGATGTTGAACAGGAGCTGCCGATGCATTTCGCTGTGTGGAACTGATATTCATATCTCCATCGCTCATACCGCCCATGGAAGAACTTGGGTTATGCTTTCCAGAAGTAATATATGTGGTGCCCATAAAACTCAAACCGACCTGTCCAAATTGCCCAAATGGTGCAAAATGATTGTAGACCACCATGTGCGGAGGGGGGCCTTGAACCCCAGGCATTCGTCCAGTTGAGCTGTACAATGGACCGGTAAACCCTGTTGGGGGGCCATAGAATGAATCCATGGAAGAATGGCATTGTTGCCAAGCACCAAGAGGCCCTGAACCTATGGTGGTACTCTTTTGAGGCTGATTTTGGGAAACAGTTGATTCTTCATGTGGCCCAAATGAAAAGATAGGACCTCCCAAGACAGGATTCATCTCATAGAAAGGGAAGTGAGAAGGCTGTCCTCCAGGAAAATGAGAAAGTATCTGACCTGACGGATTCTGAGGGTCAGGTAAACGCGGCCATAAAGATATCGGATGGTTTTCAACAGAAAGATCTGCAGGAAGAGAGACAGTGAGGGGTTCTTCCACTCTTGATTGACTTCCCACTTGCGGATCACCTGGAATGTGTTCCAACACAGGGAGACTTAGATGGTGACAAATACTGAATACAATAAAATTAGCAAGCTCACAGAAAAGAAGGGTTGATCCCATCTACCTCCCCGACGTTTAGCCAACTTACTGAATAATCCCCAAGGTTTCTGAAAGCTAAAAATATACCTCAAATAATCCGTAAATGACACCCAAAGATGATAGAGTATTATGATATTAGTAGAAGTTTAGTCTTTCACTCTTTCCTAAATAAAGTACTCTTGTGAACATTTGTCCCAATTTTTTGTTTTCTAAAGAACCTCAAATATATTAACGATAAGATGCAATATAAATGCAATACTCAGTCAGGAAATCTTAATTCCTGCTGATATCATTATAATTAATCATACTTTGGTGCTAAGGTGTCATTCACGAAAAAGAGGACTGATCAGTGGGTCTAATTGGCATATATATAAACATCTAGGGCCCATTTTGTAATGTTATCCACCTCAGGGGAGGTGAATGTAACTAACCCAAAAAGAAGGAAAAAGAAGAGGAAGACATATCCAATCAATTTCTCAACCTTCAAAGACGCTTTTAGTTTCTGAAGCAGTTACAGAACCAAGACCATTCTCCACGCCTTCCTCATTAGTGATGGCTGCAACAGCAACAGCAGAGGCAGCTGCTTCAGCTTCAGTCTCAGAATCATGTAAGCTAACAGAGGAGTCATTTGGCAATTTATCAAAGAGAGAACAGTCACTTTTAGTTGCAGAATGATTGTGGGGGATTTGTAGATCAGAAGACCGCTTGGAGCCTGGAGCTCCAATCCCATGTGAAACGATATGACAACTAGCAGGTAGGACTGTTGGGGATGTAACAGCACCTGGTGGATGGACAATTCATTTAAAACTTTAAAGGAGTTTATTGAGTATAACCGAGTGAAATCTTTCTATAGTTACTAAAAATATTTACCAAATTGAATTTTCTCTCCAGCAAGCAAAGAGTTAATTGGGCTTGTAGTCAACGTAAAAGATTTGTCATTGGGCATCATAGTCGATGATGATGGTAAGGCAGGCTCGCTGACTGAACTACTACTGTGACTTACAGAAGAAGAAACGTGTGTCTCAAATTTCACAGACTTCATAGCCTCTTCAAGTTGACTCTGTGTCAAGTTCAAAACCTATCCAATAGTGAGTGAGAATATTTTAACATTCAAACAACAAGGTAATAAACATAATGAAAACAGTTGGCTCATTCAATAGAAAACTGAGCCATACAAATGGAAACGCTTTACTAGTACTAACTGCAGTAGGACATCTTGAACAAATGTATTTATGATGTTACTTGTTCTGACCTGTTGATTAACACATGGAGGGCACCACGACTTCAAAGAAGTTGCAATAATGGCATCTTTAGGTTTATTTCCTTCAAACATCAAGCTAGTTCCATCACATCCAGCACCAGATACGACAGTAGCAGATGATGCATGATGAGATCTGGGGAAAAAAATAAATATAAATGAACGCCATACTTATAAGATAAGGATTATGCCTCATAGCACAATCAAAATAGGAAATGCATACTTAATTGATCTAATATCTGATTCAGTTTCAACATCTTTGGCAGGAGTACAAGGGGGAACAACTGACTGTAGATCGGTAGAACATCCCATGGGTTCAGAGATGTTAGTTGATCCTTGCCCCTCAGTAGCAACAAACACCGACTGTGTTTTCTGCGGATTTTTTCCACCCGCATGTACAGATGCCTTGTTTAAGCTGGTTGAAACTGCAATGTTTTGTCTGGGAGTGTAAGGTTTACGTGGTTGCTGTTTGAGATAGATAAATAAATAAATCAGGTCAATATGGAACTAAAAAAGAGCAAACAGAAATATTCAATTTAAATTAGCTGAATATTATATGCATCATTAGAACCTTTAAGGCCCGGGACTTTGCTTTTATTTCTTTCTCTCTCTGTTCCCGGCGGTCATTCAGCATTTGCCTTTTGGATCTTACTTGAATAAAGTCATCTTCATCACTGGGGGCTTCAATACCAGGCTGCTTAAAAACTCGTACAATACCACTCTGCAAGGGAGCATCAACATCCTCAGAAATGTTCCTCTTCAAATTCCCCTCACCAAACCTACAAAGACTACTCTGATTCTTTAGAGCATGATCCTTTCCAGAATCAAAGTTCTGAGAACCATATTTAGGTGACTTGAAATTCTCAGATTCTACGGTGCATTTCATGGATTTGTTAAGCACAGAACCTCTCTTAGATCCATTTCTTGGAAAACCCCCTCCATATCTTCCATTATATGTTGCATTATCATCAAAACAATTATCATCACCAGAGAGAAGCGCAGATAACTGTCTCTTATCCCCATTCTCTCGAATTCGAAATTCTGTCCGCTGGATTGTCCGCCGTGGTCTCTTCTGAAACCCAGCAATATTTGAGTAAGAAGTTTCAGATGCATGCGAAGATGGCCTAGCACTGCTATTTTTAACAGCATACATGAACCTCTTACCCTTTGAGCCAGTGAATGACCCTTGAGGGTTAAATCTGCCAGATAACATCCTCCTTACAGGCTGTGCAATTTTCCCCTTAGACGAACACAGATTATTCTGAGGATCTCCACTACTCTTCTCCTTATTTTCACTTCGGAAACAAGCTTTCTCTGGAAGATTACCCTCAGTATCACCAGAAACCTCAGAAATGATCTTACATGTCTGAGCATTGTTTTCTGCAGCTCTGACTGAAGATAAACTTATACCTGAAACATTTCCATGAGACTGCACGGGAGAACCAGTTACAGAACCAGTTTGTTTATTCAGTGAAAGAGATGGCATTTCAGCCAGCTTCCCTGAAGAAACATTGTCACCATGTTGCTGAGTACGCAGAGAACCTCCATCACATTGGTACACATTATGGTTATTGTTTTGTAAATTTGGCTGGATAAAAGACAGCCCTGGCGAAACTCCTTGGGAGGTAGGAGGTGAATACCTGAACTGACCAAACTGGAAGAAAGAAGGTTGTGATGGATGCAGGTGAAGAGGCATCTGTATCGAACCGATCTGTATTGCTGGCACAGGAGATGGTATCAAAGATGGACCTGAGAATAGTCCAAACTGAAGTTTAACGGGCAAATCGGCTTGACTTGTGGCAGAAGATGGCTTGTGCACTGGTGACAAAGATTGGTGAGCAGAAGAAAGGACACAACTAGGAACATCAACACCATCCGAAAGAACAGATGTAGTTGAATTATGGGGAACAATTGCAGGCCTTCTTACAGTTTCCTGCATAGCCATTTCATTTTTACTGCGAGAATTTAATTGTGATGAACATTCTGCAGGCTGACAACACATCTCATCAACTTGGACGTCATTCATAGCTCCCTGTTCTTCAGGGATGTTACTGTGGACATAAGTTTCTGCTCTATCAAATATCTCTTCATTTCTTAAATCCCTCTCAAAATTATCACTAGGTATGGCCACTTCAACTCCCTCATTGAAGCCTAAAACAACGTTGTTTGAATTAGGAGATGATAAACTTTCTCCAAGGTTTAAACCTTCAAATTCTTGGTTCAGTTCAATGTTATCATCTCCTTCATGGAGTTCGTCCTCTTCCCTGAAACCATCTTCCTCATCATCATACTCCTCTTGCTGTGGCAAGTCATCATTGTTTTCAATGGTCCATTCTTCATCCTCGACAACAGAAATAGAACTAGACACTGTTCTTGTGGCATCTTCTATAGAAACATCATTCAAGACGGGACATTTATGCCCAGAAAATATTATATTTTGCCCCCCTGCTGCAGTAGATACAACAGGAGAATACCCAGACTCATCCATCTCATCATTGGAGAGGTGAGGGGGTGAAATTGGAGGACTTGTAACTGATAGGGATGATTGTGAATCACACCTAGAGCCCATGTCTTTTCTCAACGTCTCTTCTATGGATGTGTTATCGTGCTGGAGATCAATTAGTGATGTGCCCCTGCTTTCTACATGGCCATCATAATTTTCAGTAGATTGTGTGTTTACAAAGCCTGAAGTGCGAGCAAGTTCATTTTCACCCCTGGAAAAATTCCTATGAGTAGTTGAAAGTGTAGGAGGGGGAAGTACGTGTGGCTGTCTCATGGAATATCTGGACTTACCATAGGAGAAATGATCATCAGTTTCCGGATTAGGATATGACTGACCTGGATAAGGGAAACGAGAACTGCCACCATGAGAATGGCCCTGCCCCCATCCAATATCACTGTACCTTTCCCCAAAATTGTCTTGATATTCTGAACCAAACTCTCTGGTTCTGTTGAATGGGTCAACATCTGCAGAAAGCCTCCACCTATCTTCTTTTGGCTCCACAAATTCTTCTGTGAAAGCTTCCTGCACTCCATCTTTCATAATAAGACTCCTAGATGACATGTAGCCACTTCCTCCATATAAATCTTTTTGAGGAGCTACTCTGACCCCCCTAGCAGATGCATCTCTTCGTGGAATGCCGTGACAAAAATCAGGATCCACACGTGAGCCACTCCCAGTCCCAAATGCATCCCTTCTCCATGAACAAGTAGATTTACCTGCATCACCAAAATCTGAATACCCATCTCTTGAGTGATAAGGCCTAAAACCTATCTCAGCAGTTCCGCTCAGAGCAGGTGTCTCAGAATATGTTGAAGTTGTTAGCCGCTCCACCATCCTCTCACTCTCATCCCAGTTATCTAGATCTGAAGCCTCACTTTCCTTCACGACAAGAGATAGTTTTTCGTCAAAAACAGTGGTCGAAATGGAAATGTCAGTTTTTCCTCTGTCGGCCTCCCTTTTTGCAATCTTAGCCTCCAACTCTAAAAGCTTCTGCTTAGCAGCCTGTTTTCTCCTTTCTTCCTCTAGGAAAATCCTTCTCCTCTCCTCTTCTCTAGCAGCCCTCTGTTCATCAGCTTTTCTAATAGCCTCCAGTTTCTCTTGCTCTTCCCTCCAAGCAGCTTCTCGGGCTTCTTCTTCCAACCTTCTACGCTGTTCTGCTTCCTCCCTAATAACTCTTTGCCTTTCTTCTTCCTCCTTCTGAGCTTGTTCCAAGGCTCTTTCTTGTTCTTCTATGATTCTCTGTCGCTCAAGCTCTTGCATCTTCTGAACTCTCTCAAGTTCAGCCTCAAACGATTCCCTGACAGGATCGTGGAAATCAATCTGCTTGGTCACATCCTTTTTCCTCTTGATGACCCCAACAAGACCCCCTGACAAGAGGTCCCTTTCATCAAAACCTGCAGCTCCAAAGTCCTCAACATATGGTTTCTCATTTCTTGAAAATGCATGTTTTTCACGACCAAGATTGGGTATCGCGTTAGAGACTGAAAGGGATTTGCCAGGTGAAGCAAATGAAGGTTTAAATCCGTTACTGTTTTGGAGACCAAATCTGTTAGATTGGTATGATTCCCGTGAATTATTCCACTGCTTTTGTACTTCTGATGAATGCATCGCTTCCTTTTTTGCAAATGCGGAGTCACAGTTTGCAGTTTCTCCAGACTGAGGTGGAGCATACTTACTATCTTTCCCTATATCCCTGTTCTGTGTGTATGTTCTGGAGTTAACACCATTTCTGCTGTTCACAGAAACTGGAACATTCCCATCTCTTGGAATAGAAGAGGATTTCCACGTGCTTACTTCCCTTCCATCTGTTCTCACGTCCCTATGATGAGCATCCCCTCCTCTAAGGACTTCACTGGAAGACACAATTCCTGTTTCGGTCTCCCTTTCACCCCTCCTTTCATACTGATTATTAGCTAGTTTATGTGGTAAAACACTGATTCTGGGAATGTCAAAATCACTGTTCCAGTAGTTTTCACTTTTTACCATTCTTGAGTCTCTACCCCTGTCTATGAAGCCATGTCCAGTGTCGCGTTCATCATCAGCCCAATCAGACCTTGGATTTATCTGAACTAATGGAAGTGGGCCTGTAAGGTACTCTTCTTGCTTCCAGGAGTGACCAGACTGGCTTGAACGGCCCTTATAAAGACAATCAACATCATTTTCGGCTGGTCTGTTCTCAAAAGATTGGCGGGAAGGGTGACCATGAGGGCGCATATCAACTGAACCAAAATTGTCAATTCTGTGATTGGAGTACTCTTCTTCAAACTTTTGCTTTTGATTCGCACCCTCCTTTTGTTTCTGAGAAGACACTGAAGGGATGGGCAAAGCAGCCTGGAGAGAAGGAAAATCCTCACCCCGCAAAACACCTGCTTTCTCAGTTGGTGGGGGTAAATGCTTGGTGGAAACAGTAAGTGAAGATCCAATTCCACCAGGACGAGCGGAAGGCGGCATATAAGCACCATTCTCATGACGATTCAAGCCATCGGCCCTATATCCAGTATCGTTCGAGTCTTCAACCACTTGAGTGTCACCAGTTCCATCTTTTCCCTGTCCCCCAACGGCCGGAGCAGGTTTTGACCAACCCACACCAGAAGAAGATGGCCTTGGCCCACTAGCAGGTCTACCTCCACTGGTTGCACCACTGACTGATCCAGATACATCAAATTTCTGGTGCTCTTTCCTCAGGGATGGCAAATTCAAGGGGGGTGGAACAGATAATTTAGGTCCAGCTTTCTGTGAACTCTTGGGCCGTGACAAGACCACCATTCCTCCACCTCCTCCTCCACCCCCACTAGCTGGCCGCCCGCCACGACTGTTTCCAGCCTGGCCATAAGATCCACTATAAGATTGATGAGCATACTGATGAGGCTGTCCATAAGACCTGTTCAGATTCACAGATGCAAACTTGGTCCCGATACCGCCAGGATTGGCCATCTCAGAACCAGGCACAAATATCTAACCGCCCTATCCGATCCAAAGCTTGGGCAGCGCATCAATTAACAATTAACTCGAGTTTCCCCTGTGCGTCAAAAGAACAAATTTTTATCGGAATCACTAGCCGATAGATCTCACAGCCAACGCCAAAACCCTAGAAAATCACTAGCTTATAGAAGAAGAAGAAGTATCTATAACGATCAACAAATCGAAGAGCAGGAGATTTAAAAAAAAGAAGAGAAATTCTCAAACTCCTGCGCTGATTAGGGCTCCAATAGATCTGAAGGTGAGAATCGAGATAGGAAATTCGGAATTGGGAATTGGGAGTACGGCGTATGATAATGACCTTACCTCTGACGGCGTAGGATAGATCACGGCGCTGCACTATAAATAGAAAAGATCACGTCGGAGGAGGGAGAAGAAGCCCTACTGCACTGTCTGGTCAGAGAGGAGGAGGAGGAGGAGGAGAGAGAGACACAAACAGAGTCGAGACGACCCTTTTATTATGTCCTTTAGAAGAAGAGAGAGAGAGAGAGAGAGAGAGAGAGAGGAACTGGGACTGATGGATACCCTTCTTGTGTACTTCGTACTTTTCAGATGATTTTTATCCCAATTTGTAAATCTCGGCGGCGAAGAAGCATCCCTTGGTGACGTTTCTAAGGTGGAGCCCTTCACCTAGGACATTAGCAAAGGGAATGCCAAAAAGAATGACGGACTGAAGAAGTATACCTCGGCGAAAAGTCTGACATAAATTGGCGAAGTTTTATGTTGATGTGTCGGAGGAAGTTCTGCAACTCCCAGAAATCCAAAGTGTTCTGAGGTGTGTCACGACGAAGTACAACACCAAGAGGATCATGGCCGAGCGTGACTAGGAGATTACAGTTTATCATCATATGTGTTTGGCCTTAGGGACTTAGCACTCCGGTGGCGAGTGTAAAGTATACGTATACGACAGTCGGCGAGCAGACCACTAAACTGTGGGGTGAGATACCACGCAACCAGTGTCACTATTCACATCGGATAAAGTCAGTTAATAATTGAGCTACTTTTTAAAATGACACTACTTTTGTGCCTTCTATTGTGGGATAATTAACATATTGGCCTTCATTCAGGCATAAGCTAAGAGATTATAACAAAATATAATATCTTTGTAAAATATGTTCTGACATGATGAACTATTCATATTGTGATGATATATAAATAATATGCATGCCATGTGAAAAGTGAACGCAAACATATATGTATATATTTGTGGATCAATCTTTGTATTCTACTGTTGATGTATCACTCAACTTCACCGGCAAACACGTAGGCCTTTTGATCTATCTACATGTAGGTTTAGTGTAAAAGAAAATGAAGGTGGAGCACATCCTATGAGATGAAGGTGATCCGTGGACATTCATTTTTAATAATTTGAATAAATATTTTTCATCATATGTTATGTTTCAAGCACTGACCCAACTATTATATTTTAATTAACTTCATATTTTTTAAAATTATTATACTGATGTTATTCTAAAACACTTGCACCGTTATTTCAAATAATAATTTAAAAAAATTAATTATGATGTTACCAAGTTAATACTCTAGTCTGGAAGGGACAGTAGATATTAGCGGGTTTGAATCTTATACGGAGTACAAGAATATTTAATTGTGACTAAAAAAATTAAAACTCGACAATTATTTTATAATTTAATTGTGACTAGAGAAAAAATAAATTATAAGTATATATAATAAAATGAATACATTTTTATCACTTCGGATTGTTTACAACGTATCACACATTGATTATGGTATTCCAATAAATAATACTTCATACTCCGTACATAGTGGCAATATCAAACAAAATACATTTTATATACAGTATATTAATTTTTCTTTCATTTACTCATTATAGTCATTATATCAAATATCTAATATATTAACTCATTATTTTTTAAAAAAATATTATTTTTTAATTATTTAGAAGTTTTTGTCAAGTGAACCGGCCTAGCCCGAAGTCCGCAGGTATCCACACGGGCCGAGCTCGGGCTTCAATTGTTAGGCCCGCTATACGGGCTGGGTGAGGCTCGGACGTAGAAAATTCTCATAATGACAAGGAACCAAATCAACCAAAAGTTCAAGCTTGTGGTTGTGGCCCAAGAAAGGTTATTTATATTCTTACACGTCCCCTCACATGCAGGCGTAGTCTTTTTCGAGCATTGCACGTGAAACCTTAATTTTTTTCAAAATTGGGTGATGTTGAGTTTCGAATTCGTGACCTCTTAGTCAACAAGACTCTGATACCATGTCAAAGAACCAACTCAACCAAAAGCTGAAGTTTGTGGTTGTGGTTCAGGAAAGGTTATTTATATTCTTACACAGTAAAATTACTACTAAACGTAATACTTTGTATATATAAAATATTTAATTATTAGAGTATGAGTTAGCTAAAATGACACAAGTGCTACTAGTCTCATCTGCTTACACTAGTTTTTTTAGGTTATCTACGATGCCCCGTTTGTAAAAATGACTGTTCCTACCCCTCCTAACCCTCTTCCTAAACCCCCATCCAGCCCCGCCCCCATCCCCCCTCCTGCCCATGGGGTGAGTTCAATTTTCACCTAAAACTAAAGACAAAACCGAAGGTAAGCTGGCGGTTCATTCGATTCAATTTCGCATAAAAAATATATGAATCGTTGGTTATTTGGTTTGGTTTATGCGGTTTTTATTTTGGTTTTTTTCGGTTTTTAAAAATAAAATTTATTAGCATTAAAAAGTTGTAAAAACACTAATCAATTATTTGCATTTATATTTTTATGATTTTTTTCATATCACATATACTTATATAAATAAAGTGAAGTACCTAAGAAAGTTTGGTTTATTTCAGTTCGGTTTTCTAAAGTGAAAACCAAAACGGAAAACAAACAATAATGGTTCAGTTTGATTTTTTACATTCGGTTTACATTTTTTCAGTTTAGTTTTTTCTAGCTCGTTTCGATCGGTTTCGATTTGGTTTACGATTTTCGGTTTTCCCAACCCTACCCGCCCCCTCCATACCTCAACAGTATACTGCAAGTAGTATACTTCGAGGGTAGGGAGGGGGGCGGGAGGGCAGTATATTGCTGGGGTAGGGAGGGGGCTTGGGTGGGCCGGTGTGGCGGGTTTAGGGGAAGGCTAGGAGGGGTAGGAACTGTTTTTTTACAGACGAGGTATCGTAAATGCTCCAAACAAATTTGTGTAAGCAACTAATATATAAGTAACTGATGTCATTAGACACTACCTTAGAGTATATATATGAACCAAGACAAACACAATAGAATCATATACTTTTATGCAATTCCTCATAAAAATGGTACAAATACAAAAAGATATCAAATTATTTTGGAACGAGTTAAGGAGAATGAATTTCACACCAACCTTAGTCAACGAGGCTCCATGTTGTCTAATAACTCTCTCCCAAACTGTTTATGTTGTCGTTAGTTTGACGACGACAAAGCAAAAGAAATATTCTCTCTATCTTAAAGTATTTTATATTTTACGCAAAACAAAGTAAAATTTTAGTTTTTCAAATTTATTTTATTTAAAAATTAATGTAGAAATATAAATAAAATTTACATATTTAAAAATTGCACAAAACAAAAGTGACAAAATAATTTATTTTATCAAAGAATCAATAAAAATACACAAATAAACAAAAATTCTCGTGACTATTAAATAATCCTTAATGAATAATACTCCGTACTTCTTTCGTTTCTTAAAGTTTTTCCGATTTTGTGTTGATTTTCTAAAAATGCTTTTGATGTAATGTTAAAAGTAAGGTGTGATGGATAAATTATTAGTAAAAATGTATAATGTGATAGGTAGAATAAGAATTTCTAGGTATAAATATGGTTTTTTAAATAGAAATGATAACTATTTTCATATTCCCAGTGAAACCACCCGATTGCAGCTTTGCCTGCCGTGGAGGCGGTGGAGCCATTCCCAAAAACGGAAGCCTATTTTTGTCAAGGGAAATGGATGGATCCGAAGCCTCTCTGTCCACTTCTCCATCTCAATATACTCTCAGGCACTGCAAAATCAAAACTTTTTCCTTTCTTTCTTTCTTTCTCATAAAATCTTGATTTCCCCATTTACGAAATTCAATTACATCTGAATTCATCTTGTTTGATTTCCCCTAAATTCGAAATTCAATCATATCTTTGAATTCCTTGTGCGATGCAGCCAGCAACGCCATTTCTATCTTGCTGTCGACAGGATGAAATTCAAGATGGTCTTTCTCTCCCACCCTTTTCTCTACCTCTTTCTATCCTCTCCACAAATGCTCCTTTTTTTGCAAGTTTTTTTTTCTTCAATTTTTTATTTTATTTTATTTTTTGTTGTTGAATAGGAGACGCTGGTGGACCTATTGCGGGTGGCTGGCCGCCTTCCATGCCTTCCGGTGGTGGTTTGTTGCAGTGCACGGGATGAACTAGATGCTGTTTATTCGGCACTCTCTGCCCTTTCACACATTTCTATATTTGCACTGGTAATCCTTCAGAAGCTCTTTCTATTGAATCTGTTGATAATTGTCAGAAATTGGAATTTGAATGTGGGAGATTTTTGGGTTCTGTTTGCCATAACTATTAAGCTAAATGAACAAACGCTTTTCCTTTCAGAAATTTTACCAAATTCAGTAGATTCAGCCATTCCAACAAAGTAACACTTACCAATGGGCCCTTAAATGATAAAGGGTGTGTTACATTGGATTCTGTTTACCATGTAAATAAGCTCAATTAACAGAATAATTGAACAACCAGACGCTTTTCCTCAAAGAGAAAGTGTAGTAGATTCGGTCATTTCAACAAAATAATAATTACCAAATGGACCCTTAAGAGATAAAGGTGTAACTTGAATCTGTAGTTGCACATTGGTGTGGGTTTGGCTGTGTTAAGTTGGGTATGAAGGCTTGTTTTAAAGTTCGTTGGCATGTTATGGATAGTTTTGTTGGAATTTCAGTGGGGCGAGTGAACTGCGCAGAGTGTTGGGTGAGATTTGACCACTTACCCATATAAAGTCCGGATCCACTTTCTATCCAAAAGCTTAAGCTAATTGGTAGTGCTTCACCTTTCTTTAAATGGGAGTGTATTTTCTTTGATTTGTCCGGTGTGGGATTGAACCCATCACACGGATTCCCAACAAGTTTTGATGTAGATAAGTCTTTGCAGTATAGTGACCTTGGCGAACCAGAACGAATGCATATTTTTGCTAGATTTCGTCAAGCCGTGATGAGGTGGAATCGCCAAAGTGTGGTTGCTGAAGGGGAGAGAAAGGAGGAAGGTGAATGTCACGTAATAGTTGTAACAGATGTTTGCCTTCCTCTTGTTAACTCCGGCGAGTTGCCTTTTAGTGCTCGTGCCTTGATTAATTATGAGTTACCAGCAAAAAAGGTGAGAAGACATTTTGATTTGAAATAGTTCCTTTACATATATGATGTTAAACTATCTTCCCTTTCTTGTTTGTGAGTTCTCCAATAGCATTGAATTTTCTTTTTTCCTTTGGCAAGTTGAAGATTGTTTGGTGTACTTTCTTCAGTTCTAACATTTGGTAGTGTTTACAGGTCTTTTTGTACCCTACCATGTGACATTCCATCACTGCTCTCATTTTTTAATAATATAAATTAATGTGTACTGGAAAACAAAAAGAAACATCTACTTTGTGCTTTATTGAACACATTTGATCACCCGCACTCTTTTGCAGGAAACTTATATGCGGCGCGTGGCTACGTGTTTAGCAGCAGGTTCAATATAATTTCCACATTCTCTAATTCTTCATTTCTCCTTTATTAGGCTTATAGCTAATTGCCAGGTTCGTGTAGTGCTGAGCTGTTTTTGCATGTAGCAATGACATTATCAAAAAATTAATTTGGGATATTGGGGTGACACGAGTTTTCTCTTAAGAACTCATAGGTCCTCATGTTTTTTAAAAAACCATCAGGGCCCTTAATTTTTCTGTAAATACTACGATGATACCTTTCAGTAGTAATATCTAATATCCGAATGAATAATATTATTAATATGTCATAGTAAATTAAAGGCTCCATATTTTCTATTTTATCCTTATTCACATGGTCTGCTTGTCTTCTGCTATGATCACTATCCCATTTTCAACAGTCTGTTTTCTTTTTTAGTCAATTGCAAATGGAGAATAAGAAAACAGAGAATATTCCTTTTTAGTCAATTTCAAACCTTAGCCTAACTCTTAAGGCCTAAGGACTCATGAAGTTTTGAACATCCACAATTTCAAATTAGAGGACTGACTTGAGAACTCAGCTTAGGTTAATCAGAAACAATCCATCACAATGGCTCAACACTTGCAATTTTAATACCCAGAATGATTTCCTTCAAAGAATGAGTAATTTTAAATTAGACAAAGAAACTTAATGAAGTAGCTGATGTTTCATTTTAGGGATCCATTTCCAACTATCTGTTAAAGTATGACTAACTGTTTCAGAAATCTTAAGTGATATCCATGATCATTCCAAAAATTTGAAAAATATGAGTTATTTTGAGATTTGGGTGCACTCTGCTTATCATTCCTGGACAAATTATGCTAATTACTGCAAGTAAGAAGGAGAAGACTACCATTGCACCCCACCCCCACACTTAACCCCATCAGAGTTTGCATTATATTCCATACTCCATTTCACAAGCTGAAATTTATCTTTACACAGCTTTCTAGATAAAACCCATCAGAGGGAACTCTCTTTCAACCGATTACAATACCTTCACTATTGGCACATAAATATGTAGCAGTATGCACAAACTTAATGGCGTTTCTGGCTGTTCACATTTTTCACTTTGAAAAGTCTTCTAAAATAAGGTCAAGGCTTTGTGTTGTTCACCTTGTTCTAGGATTAATCTATTGTCCAATCTTCATGATTGCTAATCTATAAGTTGAGAGTGTTTGAGCATATCTTTTGGTCTATTGATTTTGAACGTGAATATTTAGTACTTTATCTTAGTATCTACCTCCGTCCCAGTGTATGTACTAGGACAAACTTTGAGCTTCAATTAATCAAAACTTGTAAGGTATACTAGTACAAGAATAATTTTATTGGATTTATCTTGTTAAAAACTTTCAGAATTTTATTTCATTATATTAATATGCAATACAAATTGAGAGTAGTTTAAGCTTAGGGTTCGTCCGGTTTGACTCAAAAAAGTCAAACTGGACAAATACATTGGAACGGAGGTAGTATTTGCATTATGCATTTAGTGTTTATAGGTTGTGGTTTTACATATAACTGGGATATACAGAGTTGTTAGTTAGATATGTACTTCAATACTTCAATGGTGTAATATGGGCTCGTGAAGGCAAATCATTGCAAGAGTCTTCATAATGTTATAATCCTTGTCTCTTTTTTATCTTCTTTTCTTTTTACTATGTCTCCAAACAATCTTTCTTTTCCATTTTAAGTAAAAAAATATGTGGTACATATTCTAACAGGCCTTTATTCATAATCTCTGCCAATATATAAATACTAAATCACTAAATCTAAATTAATTTAACATAATCCCTACTCCATAGTTAATCACACAACCATTCCTTATTTCCAGGCCTTCGTTATGTATTCCCTTGCATCCAGAAACATTTGTCATCACATTGTAATATGTCTGTGTGCATCTGTACAGATGGAATTGCGATCAATATGGTCGCTGGAGGTGAGGCTATAAATCTCAGAAACATTGAAGAAAGCAGTGGCTGTGTGATATCAGAAATGCCCATTAATGTGAGCCTTCTTGTTCTGGCATCTGTTTACCAAACCCAATATACTCATGTCCCTAAACTAGATTCACAGTTTCCGTTTCGTCTGTCCCAAAATTGCCACTCATACTTTTACACTATGTTTGGTTTGAAGAATTGTGAAAGAAAGGAAAATATTGAGGAGAGCAAAAGAATATTCAAGATCAAAAATCCTAATTTCCGTCCCAAAATTGTCACTGTTCTTTTCATTTCCTCTTGAATCAAACAAGAAAAATTATTTTCTGTATCACTTTCTTTTCACTATCAAAATCCTTGAACCAAACATAGCCTTATAAAAAGAAGTATGTAGTTCCCAACTTCCCATTATTTCTCTGCCTCCTAAATAAATTTTAATCACACAATATTCACATCTTTAAACTCTGGTCCAATATACTCTCTGTCCCCATTAGAAAGTTAGAATTTTGACTCCACGGAGCTTAAGAAAAGTTGAAAAGTATATGGTTGAACTTTGTTTCTTTAATAGGAAAGTAAAGAAATGTGAAACTTATTCTGAGACAACCCAAAAAGAAAGTTGTGACGTTCGTTTTGGGATGAAGGGAGTGTTAATTCCATTTGTGCATGAAGATGGCCCAGTTAACTTTGGGTAAAAAAGTATGGAAACATTTGAATGAACCAATAGAAAATACTATGATCCTAATATTAACTTTGGTTTTCAATAGATTTTTGAGATGTTGTGAAGATTTCAGATCCCGAAAAGATAATAGACGTTGTGAAGATTACAGGGACGGGCGGGTGGAGAAGGATTGCCTCAAAAGGAACATAATAACGTTCAATTTCTTCTCTTTATTTACTTCATTCTGTTGTTTTGAATTTGCAATTCTTATGGTAATATGGTCCTTTTGAACACTTTTATGCTCTGGAGTGTTTAATATGAACCAAAACTGATTAGAATCAACCGTTGCTCAACCCTTGAAGGGACTAAGGCTGCGTTCTGTTCGTCTGATTTGAATTGAATTTATTTTTTAAAAGTTTGATCTGATTTGATTCGATCTAGTCTGGTGTGATCTAATTGCAGCTACAATTGAAGCTCTTTTAGGGTCTGATTATAATAAGAATAAGTAATTAGCAAAAATAAATAAATTGAACGCAATGCTGCCTAAACAAGTCGAAATGAAATGATTTGATTTACTTGCATCTCAACCCTCATTTTAATTGTTTTAATCCCATTACTTTAAATATTTCCTTTCTACATTTATTCAATTTAGCTTATTTTTTCAATATTATTTTAAATTCCTTTTTTCAGTATATAGATCATTTTACATTGTTTTACATTGTCCAACGACCTTTCTGCAGTTGGAGTCAGGGTCTTTTGGAAACAGCCTCTCTACTTCCGAGTAGGGGCAAGGTCAGCGTACACACCCCTCCCAGACCCTACTGTAGTGGGATTCAACTGGACTGTTGTTGTTGTTGTTGTTCTCTTGTTCAACGACCTTTAAGTTTTATATGTTGATTATTCACCTGGAACCATTTCAATGATCAATAAATGTCAAGAGCGCTTGTGCACGTAGTTTCAATTTGAAACATTTTTTAAAAAATAAATTCGTTTTTCAATGATGTTTATGTAGCATGATAAGTTTAACATTTCACTCATTTTCTAGGAGAGAAATATGCAGCTAATAATTTTTTTTCAACCTAAATTTTAACCACAATTTTTTATTTTTCAATATTTTTCTTAAAAAAAATTAAATCTGTTTTGCAATGATGTTTATGTACCCATGATAGATTTAACATTTCACTCATTTTCTAGGAAAAATATGCAACTAATAGTATGGAGTATTTTTTTACAACGTAAATTTTAATCATAATTTTTAGAGTACTTATACCATACATCCGAATGTATGGTACATTTGCATTAATACTTACTTTTGAGTAACAAAATACTCATTTTCAAACATAATTAAATTTAAAAAAATGAATATACAATTTCTTGAAATAATAATTTTTTATACTAATATACGTTATTGTTTTTATTTAACTGAGGTCTAAAGTTCGTCTATTTTGACTCTAAAAGGTCAAACTAGACGAATACACCGAGAGAGAGGACTTTGAGAAAATGGAATATAAGACCTAAGAAGACAGCAAATGAAGTGGATGATGACTCCTACCTATACTATACAGGCAGAATATATGTATGTTTCAGCCACTAGCAAATTCTGCAGCAGCCAAAAAGAAACCATCCTGAGCAGAAGAAACTATTGAAGCACGAACGAACGAAAAAAGAGATGCAAAATTTCTGCTCATCACACTACTAAAAGAGGGTAAATTCGAAATCTGAACTACGACTACCAAAAAAACCGTTACTTTACCACATTTGACCGTTTATTCTCCATGCGTAGCACATCCATTTGATTCCTTGGCGCTTTCGCGCTCAAGGTGCTGGCTTGCTTCCTCTAATGAGGATAGTTCTTGCAAGCAAGAAGCAAGCCTCGCAACATTTTCCTCATGCACATTAGATTTTACTTTCTCCTTGTATCCAGATGCACTCATCGTCCGCGATAAGTTATCATGCAGCCTAAAAGAAATAGGAAATTAAAAAGAATTATTTTTCATTTAAAAAACAAGCAAACAAATAAATACTCCGTAAAATTGATGCCGGGTACTTTTATAAATTGATAGGCAAAAATCCCCAACTGTTCAAATGATTGATTCAGAGGTATAATCTCACTCACCTCTTGATATCGTCCATCCTTTTCTTTAGCTTTTCGCGTTCAGCATCCACATCAATCGTCCCTTGTGTCTTGAGGAAAACAGAAGAGCTTCGTTCACAACACCTACCACACATCCAGCTGGAACAGCATCATTCTCCTTTAGGACCTGGTAATTTCATCTCCAGGTAAGCATGACGAAAGCATGTTCCCAGCGCGGAGATTGAATAAAAAACTATTCTCCAAATTAAAAGTAAGAATATGCTCCTAGGGAAGGTTCAAGAAAACAAGTACCGATTGCCAAAACTGTTTTTTTAAATAATTATTAATACGTACACTTTCTCATTGTGGTATTGCACCTCTTGCTTCTTTTGTTCTATAAATGAAATTCTTAAAAATGATACTAGTTGGTTATTATATTCACCTATATTTGCAAAAATAGCTTGGACCGCAGCAGTGATTAGGACAGTTAAAAATATTTAAAAAACACTGACATTATAACTTATACCAGAGGAATTTTAGAGTGAATTGCATGACATATAAGTACATATGAAGTTGATTCGCGTGAACCGTAAGAGAATCAATGAACAAGGTTCCCTGAAATCATATCTGGTATCTCGAGTAGGAGGTTGACTTGGACTGAAATTTTAAAATGCAACAACGAAGGAAAAAAGGACTCCACTTCAATTATGATGAGGAACGAGCAGACTGTGCAACTAAAAGCAAGCAAGCACCAGTGTCTACAAGGACTGAACCAGAAACCCACTGAGAAAGAAGAGTTACAAAGGCTGCTTTTAAAATGGAACCAAGGTGCAAACCCATTTTGTTTAAAAAATGAAGAGAAGGATGAGGAACAGGATGAGGGGAATTAAAAGGCATTCTTGAGGAACCAAATGAGCTACCACCGGCTAGAATTTATGATCATCGAAATCATTTGAAAGAAGGCAAAACTGTCAACGAACATATATGCTCAATTTAAGAACGAGATCGAAAAAAATTGAAGAAATGTTCAAAACATAGTATATTAGAGCGAGTGCATGTTCTTTTTCCTCTCCAGTTCTCTTGGTCAAAGAAAAGATGGAACATGGACTATTACTACTTTTAAGGCCTTAACTGTTCCTGAGCACAATTTGGTTAATTTGAATAGACTTCACTGAGGAACTTAGATTAAAAGGGAAGGGCTTTTCTTTATTTTGAATTATCCCTTTACTGCTAAGGATGTGGTCGTAGTTTTTACTTGAGAGGTTACCAAAGTACACAGGATTTCAAAGTCAATAACTTTTTATATAGATAAAGAGTTTCTGAAAGCATGGGTAAGGTCTGCGTAGAACCACGCCCTTTCAAGTTTCTACGCAAGACCGCTACCAGCTTTAATTTAGTACAGTGAGAGAAGTTTGCACTTTTCACGTGCAAAAGGTTGAAGCAACTTTGAAAGCCGATGGTTCAGCTTCACTAGAACTAAAAGAACACTTCTTGCTCAAAATAGGATGTCCCTACAGGCACCATTAAGTAGCTCAAAAGGCAAATAAGAGAGTGGCTAGTAAGTATTTAGGACCACTCTTAAAGAGAAGTAGCCCATGAGTTGCAACTACCAGAGGCTTCGAGAATCCATCCGGTGTTTCATGTATCTCTTTTATAAAGGAAACAAGTCATTGGTCCATACTATAAGCCTCTACGCAGGAGCGCATATATACACATGGTGAACTACCATGTTGGTCCTCTACTAAAAATTGACAAGAGAAGAATGGATGAATACACAAAATCTTATAGCATTATAAACTACAAAAGTCTTATTTGCATCCCAAATGGTTCTCGGCCAAAAGATCAACAAGACAAGAATGGTTGAAAAATGAAAACACAAAATATTAAATCAATGAACACTAAGACATTAATGGACAAACCTCCAAAGATGACAGATTGCCAAGTGTTTTAATCTCAAGCTCGTGCTTTATGATAATCTCTGCATCATCATTCACTCGACCACGCACAAAAGCTACTCGCCTGTAGACAGAGGTTTATTATTTACATAGCAGGTAGTATAGCAATCAAGCTTCTACAAATTGCAAGGTAAGCTCAATTTGCAAGACATTTAGAGAAGTTAAGCAGCTATGCGTTTACCACAATTGCAAGAAGAACGTGATCATACCAGTAGTTCTTAACAATGAAAAGGGAAAATGGTGATAAAAATGTAACACAATAGACATGCTAGGGGAAATTACCTCTCAAGTCTTTCCTTATTAGGGATCAAAGATCTCAGTGAACGCAATTCTTTCACAACAGATTCGACCAAGTTCATCTCAGATTCTACATCTTCATTCGTCCAATCCTGCAGAGGCTCAGGTTTTTTTTATTTGCGAGATTAGCAGCTTAAGTGCTTAACATCATAAGCAAGATAGACCATATTAAAAACAAACAATTTATTACTTGTATTATAATATTGGGATTCAGAAATATACAGAAGTAATTTCCCCAAATATTTTTCTATTTAACTAGGTTACTCCATTTTTTTCTTTCGGTTATTCTGAACGCAAGCTCTCCCTCATTGAGAAATTGCATCAACTGCTTCAACAAAGAATGGCATATGAGGAATCGCAGCCACCCATCATGAAAGAAAAACTGTATAAGCAGACGATGCCTAATTTGGTTGAAAATTTGGCATTCAGGATGTTGGAAAAGGATGGCATTCTTTTGCTCAATTGATTATTCGTCGAATTCGAAAAGATTGGTGTCTGTGTCTCCAATCTCCATAAAAAAAATTGTTTGTTGAAGTGTCCAAATGACACTTTGACAACAATCATATGATTATCTAATATGCAAGTTTGGCATTGCAATCTACAATCTTCATGCTCCAACTTGAGGGATGTTAAAGGAAATATATTATTAAGGAAACAAACAAATTATTATTATTTTGATATATATATATATATATATATATATATATATATATATATATATATGGGGAATTTACCTAAATAGTACTAAAACATAGTCACTTTACCAATGTAGTATCGTATGTTTTTATTTCCCAATGTAGTACCATTGTTCAAGTAAATGTCCACCGCTACGGTACATTGTTCAAACTAAATGTCCACCATCAATGGACATTGTTCCCGCCACTAGACATTGTTCAAGTACTATTTAGGGAATAAAAAAATTTAAGCGCTACATTGAGAAAAGACATATGTTTTAGTGCTATTTAGTGCAAAGTTCACTATATATATAAATATTATTCCCTCTGTCCCAATATTATTGTCCCAGTTTGACTTTTGGTCAAACCATGACATGTTTTAACCACAAATTAAATATAACGTTTAATAAACAAATGCTATAAAATCTCTAATAAATCAAAACTACATCTTGAAATGAACCCAATCATATTAAATTTACATTATAAGTAAATATTTTTTTACACGATTCATGGTCAAAGAATATCACAGTTTGATCGAAAAAGTCAAACTAGGAGAATAATTCTAGGACGGAGGGAGTATTAATATGGCAGTGATTGTACATTATTCAGTTTTCTAGTTTACGGGATCCTATATATAACATGTGTTTATAGTATTGGGATTCAAAAATATACATAAATGTTTTCACCAAATATTGTTCTAATTTTAGCAATATCATTAAAAACACAGTAAACTGTAGTACTGTACATCTTACTAGAAGGATGGTTTTGGGATTCAATAAGTAATATAGGGAAAGTATGTGAGTTAAGCATTGATAGCATGGATGTCAAGCATGGGGTAAAATCAATAACTTTTTTAAACTGGTCACACTCAATAGTATGGCTCCATAGTCCAGAAAATTAGAGAAATTCATGGTTAAGTTGAACAAAGGATGACGGTGGGATGTGTAAAGTGTACTTGTTTAGACAAAAACCACTGCTTGAACTAAGCAAAGTATGACCAGATTATCACCGGACGAACATTTTTGTATGGGTCAAAGGGCTGAGTAGTAGAGAAGAAATACTCGGTGACTGAGATGAGAAGGCTAACATAATGTGTGGCATGCAGGACTAAATTAAAAATGAGAAGATGGTTGTTGAGGAACCTGACAAACAATATGACGATGTGAATTATATACATGGAGAGAGAGAGTGGCCAAGAGAGACACAGAACCATTTTGAGGGATACTACCAAATAGTATCACCGAGGGATACTACCAAATACACACCTTATTTATAGGCTCAAGCTACTCTATGATATTCCTAAACCAACTCGGACTGGTAATTCTAGGTTAAATATAACTAAGACACAATAATAAACATGCTAGAACTAAGTAATTCTAAATTAACTAGGGGTAGGACAACAATAATAAACCAAATATGATTTCTTAATACAATGGTTTGAGCATACGTCTTTGGTGAAGTGATAACCCATCATCACCCTTCCCCTTGAGAAAATCCTTGTCCTCAAGGCTCAAATCTGGATAATTCTTCTGCTGACTGGCTCCCAAGTCGCGTGTTCCAGGGGCAAACTGACCCACTGAACTTGTGCTTCCACCTGTGGGAAGGCTGTAATTCAAATTCTCCTAAATAGGCTGATAGTGCGTTGCATTATACTAGTACTCAGCCTTCATTAGAAAAGGCTCCCATTGTTTTGTTCTAGAGAAAGCAAAACATCTTAAGTGCTGCTCAATACCTAATGTTAACTACAGTTTGGCCATTTGTTTTTGGATGATATGCAGAACTGGTTTAAAGTTCAGTACCCTGAAGCTTGAAGATTGTTTTTCCCAAAAAACGGCCCATAAACACTTTATCTCAATCAGAAACCCCATGTAGCTTGATAACCTCTTGAGCAAAAACTACTACCACATCCTTAGCAGTAAAAGAATGCGATAAACTAAGGAAATGACTATATTTGCTTAACTTGCCAGTGACTACAAGGAGAGTGTCTTTCCCTTTTGATTTCGGAAGTCCTTGAAGGAAATCCATAGTTGTTCAAATTTTCTCAGAAACAACCAAGGGAAGCAGCAATCCTAATGGTTATCTTGAATATGCTTTGTTCCAATGACGAGAGCCACATTTCTGCACTTGCTGAACTTCCTCATTCTAGTCCAAGTAAATAGCCATTCTATCCTCTTGGTTGTTCTTAGAACTCCTGAATGGCCTGCACTTGGTGAACTGTGAAAGCAGTGCAACTCTTGAAGTATCATCTTAGCTCTTTATCGGCTGCTACTAAGACTCTTCTTTAACAATGCATCCACCCCTCAACCAAAGATTTTCATGACTCTTAGGGTTGCTGCTCATTTGTTCCTTTAATTTTTGTAGTTCAATATCGTTTTCTGTCGCTTCACTTGAGTAACTTCTTGCTGTATAGTCCATGTTGACAATGTAATTTCTAAAAGCTCATCGTTCTGAATGCTGACATTATTCCCTTCAACTTGTTTTTGTCAGGCCAAAGCATCAGAACCCTTATTGCTAGATCAAGTTCTATAAAAGATTTCATATTTGAGGTCCAAAAGTTTTGAGATCCATTTTGCTACTCGGGGGAAGTAATCCTCTGTTCTAGCAAACACCTAAGACTTTTTTGGTTTGAAATATTTGAATTTCCTCCTATCAGGTACACTCTCCAAAATTTAACTGCTTCTAGGATAGCCAACATCTCATTTCATATGTAGACCATGATTTTTCCTTTCAAATAATATCTTTACTCAGATATGCTAATGGGTTTCCATTTTAGACTAGTAATACTAAACTAAATAAAACTAAGACAAACAATTGTAAATGAACTAGACCTAGGTAGTTCTAAATCAACTAGGGGTAGGACAACAATCATAAACTGAATAGGATTTGTTAATACAATGGTTTTTGCCTGCGCAATTGGTAAACCTATAACCCATCAGGCAGACATGCACCACAGCATTTTAGTTGGGTATACTTGATTCACACAATAACTAATATAGCAATGTTTTTCTCCACATAAAAAGATGAAATATACATGGAATTATTATTATTAAGCTAAATGCAGGGTGACATGATTTGACACTAACATGCCTATATTCAAATGTAGACAGTCCATAAGAAAATGTAATGGATCACACCTCTGCAGATGATGGATAATCTGATATCATGATGGATTCCTTCTTACAACCATTTCTCGAAGGGAGTCGCTGCCATAATTCTTCTGTTACAAATGGCATAAAAGGGTGAAGTAGGCGAAGTCCATTATCCAAACAAATCCACAAGGTATCTTGGGCATATCTTTTTGCAGAGGCAAATTCTGGATTACTACTAGCAAAGTACGGTTTAATAACTTCAATGAATACATCACACAGTTGATATTGCCACCAATGATGAACTGCAGTTGTTGCATCAGAGAATTCATACGCCTCTAAAGACGACACAGTTTTTGAAATAGCTTTGTTCAAAACCGATAGTATCCACTGACAGCTAAATGGCATGACATTCGGGACTATATCAGATGGAGGAGTGTAATCATCTCCGAGTTTGCTCATGGCAAATCTTATAGCATTCCACAACTTGTTACACCATTGACGATATCCAACCACCCTTAGAATATCCAGATATATTTTATCAGACTGTAAAGAGCAAAATTTCAAAGTTAAAGATTGCCAAAAGAAAGAGCCAATGAAAAAGATGGGAAGAGCCAATGGACCTGAGCTGTATACGAAACAAGAGCAAAACGAAGAGCATCAGCACCACATTCAGGAATACCATTAGGGAAGTCCTTTGTCTGTTCCTCTTTCGCAACCTTTAATCCATTCGGGTCCAAGTGACCCTCCTCTAGTCTTTTCTCTAGTTTTTTGTGAAGCCCTTCAAGAGTAATTCCAGTGATGACATCAAGAGGATCAATCGCATTCCCCAGGGACTTGGATATCTTGCGACCATGGGCATCACGAATCAATGGATGCAAATAAACCTGCAAAAACCAGGGGCGTCCATAAACTAAATAATGATAATAAGAAAACTAATTACGTATTTAGTAGACTGTGACTACTTCACCTTTCCAAATGGTATGTCACCTCCTAGCTTAATTCCCAACATTACCATACGAGCTACCCAAAAAAAGAGAATATCATGCCCAGTTTCAAGGAGAGAATTGGGATAAAATGCATTCAAGTCATCAGTATTGTCAGGCCATCCCAACACAGATAATGGAAAAAGTCCAGAAGAAAACCATGTGTCCAGAACATCGGGATCCTGAGTAAGTTGAAAGTTTTTCCCATCAAAGACCTTTCTCGCCTCTTGATGAGCTTCCTGCTCAGTTCTAGCAATGACCCAGTGATTGTTGTATGCACCAAATTCCTTTAGTTCATCATCATCTAGTGTCACATACCAAGCAGGAATCCTGTGACCCCACCAAAGCTGCCTTGAGATGCACCAATCACGTATATTACCAAGCCATCTGGAGCATCAAATGCCATCCATTATTAACATGAGGGAACAACATGATAATTCAAAGAGATAGCAGCAAAGAGAAACATGAACACGTGGACGATACAGTATATGATAAAAAAATTATAATCTTAAGACCAAGTCATGTTTCCCAAGGATAACATGTATTTTCACTTAGACATGTATATAGCAAAGATGACCAGTCAGACATTCACATTAAAAAGAAAAAGTACAGATGTGGTAATGACTTTAATTCTGAAAGCCATGATACTTTATTCCGCCCACCAAATATGAATCCGGGTACATACAACACCAAATATGATGCAAAAATTATGCCTACTGAATACGTGTTAAGTCTTTGAAGAAAAACTTTAAATCCAAAAATCAAATGCGTTGAATACATACCTCTTCCATTCTGCTGTATACTGTTTTGGAAAGATATATAATTTCTTGTTGTCTTCATCTGTAACAGCATCAAGTGCTTCCTTGGCCATACCTTTGCAGTTCACGTACCATTGGGGCTTTATCAAAGGTTCCACAACATCATTGCTTCGTGAACATATGCCAAGAACCATATCATTATCCTCGTCACCTCTGTAGAGACCCTGAAATACATAAAAGCACAAAACAGCACTTCAGGTTTCTGCAAAACAGAAGACATTTCCATCCATAAAAATTGTACTCATATCATGCAAAAGTTAAGCCAGTTAAGTTCTCCCAGAAAGTAGTCTCAAATTAACAGAGAGTTTCTAAACCAATAATCCTGCCANCGTACCATTGGGGCTTTATCAAAGGTTCCACAACATCATTGCTTCGTGAACATATGCCAAGAACCATATCATTATCCTCGTCACCTCTGTAGAGACCCTGAAATACATAAAAGCACAAAACAGCACTTCAGGTTTCTGCAAAACAGAAGACATTTCCATCCATAAAAATTGTACTCATATCATGCAAAAGTTAAGCCAGTTAAGTTCTCCCAGAAAGTAGTCTCAAATTAACAGAGAGTTTCTAAACCAATAATCCTGCCATAAGATGTACATATAGCATAGGTTGAACTCCAGAATGGAACTCATCTTCAACCACACACAATCATATACCATCAAGGGAATCAAATACAGAAGCCTAAAAAGTCAATTAACTAACTAGAAGATTCATAAATATTAAAACCATTTTAATTGTCAGACTTTATGAGTGTGTATCAAGATAAGTCAACGCACCTTTTTCTGTAAAGCTTCAGTGATAGCCGCACGGGCCTTGAAACGTGGCATTCCTTCAAACTCAGGACCCCCATTGCTATTTATTTTTCCATCATCAGTAAAAATGTTGATGAACTCAAGGTTGTGACGCTTGCCAACCTCAAAATCCTCAGGATCATGTGCTGGAGTAATCTGCAGGTGAAGCATGTAGTTTCAATTAGCATTAACATCACTGGAGGTGGGGATAAAGATTGACAGGAAAAAGTGAATTTTATACCTTCTCGGCACCAGTCCCATAATCCATATGAACACTCGAATCACAAACAATTGGAAGTCTTCTTCCATCAAACGGATGAATTACAAATTTCCCATGGAGATGCCGGTATCTTGGATCATCAGGATGTATAGCAACAGCTGTATCTCCCAACACAGTTTCCACTCTGGTAGTGGCCACAACAATCTCCCCTAATTCCCCTTCCAAAGGATAAGCAAATGATGTCAAAACTCCAAACTCAACAGGATTTTCATATCCAGGAACCTTTAATGGTTTTCTCTTCTCAATTGCAATTTTTACCACCTAGAAAAATCAAGCATTTCCAAAAGGTAATAAGATACACTCCTAGCATAGGAGCTGTACATGAAATTTCCATGGCTCACCTCAATATCAGATATCGCTGTCTGCAAGATACAATCCCAATTCACGAGCCGAAGATCCCTAGGATGGAGACCAACAAAGTTTCATGGTAAGGGACAACTAGGACAAATCTTTGAGCAAGACAGGTGATATGTGGGCAATATTATCAAACATGTGACCTATAATTGCTTACCTATATATAAGGCCTTCATGGTAAAGCCTAACAAAAGCCTCAGAAACAGCTCTGGACCTTTTCTCATCCATAGTAAAACACTGTTCTCCAAATTCAAGTAGTTAACAAAAATAACAAGGTTAACATGATTTACAAATGTGTTACTCAAGTCAAGGGTCAAGAACTCAAGATTAAACCTTACCTCACGGGACCAGTCCAGGGATGCACCCAGCTGACGTAGTTGTTTCAAAATGGTTCCTCCACATTTCTCCTTCCACTTCCATGCCTATTACGGAGACATTAACAAATTATTTCAATACACAAAGGTTAACCAACTTAAAATTTCTCTGTCCTGTAATCATATCACTATGAAAAGAATCAGTTTTGAAGCCAGAGAGCAATGGCAAAAAGCACACATTGAACAATTTCATATCAAAGGTATACAAATCTACCCATCAACCCTGAAATGAGAAACAAGTGCAAACTCACTTCAGATAGAAATTCTTCACGACCAATATCATGCCTTTTTAATTGCTTTTCGTGCATAATCTTCTCTTCCACTTTCACCTATAACCAAAATTGTAACGTACCTATTAGAAGACTGATCAGAAAATGGCTAGGATCTGCAAGTATATATGCAGGCTATATAGATATGCAGGATTGCATAAATTTGTAGGACATGCTATCCAGATGTCATAATACTAAGCACAGATATACATATTGGCATAATAATTTAGGAAATTCCGTCTAGATGCCACGATGATCAACTATCAGGCGTCTTACTCTAAATTAATCCAGACAATATTTCTCCTTCTTACTCTACACACCAATATTATAGTAGTGAGTGAAGTTTCCTACTATAATATTGGTGTGTAGGTTAACATTTCTCCTTCCACTTCCATGAAGGCTCCCTCATGGAGCGTGGCCCGACTATTTGTATATTTCTGAACAACATTAAGTTCAAGTGATCACACAACATTCCAACCTGTGTTGCAATGCCTGCATGGTCGGTTCCAGGAACCCACAAAACATTAAATCCAGACATTCTTCGCCATCGAACAAGTACATCCTGTAAGCAAAGTAAAATAATGACTAATTGAACTTAAGGCAAACTAGATGATATACCCAGGAAAGCTTGTATATAGGACCTGAAGGGCAGCAGTCAGGGCATGGCCAATGTGTAGTTCTCCAGTCACATTAGGTGGTGGTAGAAGCTGCATTTAGGGAAAGGAAAACTAACAGTCTTGGCATGATCACAAGACAGGCATGTTATGTAGTCTAATGCCCCAAAGACATACTCACAATCACAAAAGGAGGTTTGGAACTCTTTGGATCCGCCACAAAAAAATTAGACTTTTCCCACCATGAGTACCACCTGAGCCGACATTAAAAACCACAATCAGCATAGGTCGAAAGTGAAATAAAGCACAAAAAAACTCACGCTTTCTCCACAGCACTAGGATTGAACGCCTTTGCCATCAGACGGGAAAGTTGTTTCTTTTGTCCGAATGGGGTATGAGGATCAAGAAAATCTTCAGGGTTTTCTTCCCCAGTGTCTCTTTTAGCATTCTTTTTCTTCGGAGCTTTGTTTGCGCCAGAGGTTTGTTGTGCCTAAATACAATGGGCAAAGAACAGTATTCTTAAATTATGCAAATATCAATCTTTTAAACAATCAAGTGGTCTACACACGAGAGCCAGAATAGACTGTGACAGCTAAAAGAGGACATACCTGAAGCTTAGCAGCTTCTGCCTTTTGTGCAGCCTTCAGTTTCTTCAGTTCTTTCTCTTGAGCCTATGAAGCATGTAAGCATGAGTAATATTTGCTAATAACTATATGATCAAAAATGAATTTGCTCAGTATAAATGTTTCAACTAAAGCAACAAATGAAAACGTGTGTGGAGTAACACTATAAAAAAATACATGGATATCATTTAAAAAACTGCAGAAGAATATACGGAGTATTTTTAACTAAAATCAAGTTACATTCCTTTCTCGGATATAAATAACTAAAACACATGAAGCATGATCAACCTTGATAATAGTTATAACAACAACGACAATAACTGTGTAACCCAAAATGTGAAACAAGGGTCACTATCTCAAAATAAATTCACAATGCCAATATTTTGAAACTTAATTGACACCATTTCCCCACTTTATCAATTACAAAGCCTTAAAAGGTTATATCTTAAATCCTTTTAAAAATCCACAAAGGTTAAAATATCAATCTTTCAAAGCTGACATGTTATTTTGCTAGATAATAAAACACCCATAACCGTGAATCAGTGATAAGACTACTTGTGCTGGAACTACTAGACTATGTGTGCTCTTCTTCATCAATGATTCATTGCATTGTATCTTGTAGCGTAAAGCTATTATACCTTCTCTTCTTTCTTCTTTTTCCTCTCCAGTTCTTCTAGAGTCAGCTCCCGCAACTGCATAATTCCGTCCTGTGTCTTTGATTAAACACAACAAATGATCGATACATTATCTGTTAAGCGCTTTCCACAAAGGGCTCCTAGATGCTAACTTACAGAATAAATAAAAATGAGGAAATTTTTTTCATCTAATCGGATATTTACCATGATTCCGGGAGAGTATGGGCCGGCCTGGCGGCTTGTAAGAGGTATGGGTTAGCTTTAGACAATCTCCAGGTGCTAAAAGGTGGAGCGTGGAATTGCAGCGGCGACGGCGCTGCGAGGGAGAGCGAAACGGAGTCGGCGGCGCACCGGAGAATGGGGGGGTTGTGGGGCTACTAGGCCTAAAGGTGCGGGAAGAAGCGCTATATTAACAAAGTGTTGTGGGCTCCAGTCTGGCCCGACCAATTGAAGCCCGATACGAGGCCTGGGACGGTAGGACCTTCCCAACCAACACTCAACGGATTATTTTATTTTTGTTATAGACAAAATGAAATACTCCGTATATTTTAATACTCCCTCCGTCCCCCTGTATTTGTCCACATTTGACTTTTGAAACTGTTTATCTAAGCACTTTGACTCATCAAATTCTCTCAATGTGTACGCCTAAATATAGTCATGTGTGATTTTGTTTGATTTGTCTTAACATATAGATTATTAATATATAATTTCTATAATTTTTTAATATACAAATTACAAGATAAAATGGATTAAAGAAGTGCATTGGATGGTGTGAAAAAATGAAAGTGGACAAATATAAGGGGACGGAAGGAGTATGTTTTATTTGTGATTTTAAAATTTGTGATAGATTGTTTATAATCCATGAAATAATTATACATGCATTTGAATTATTTTAAAAATCCATACATTGTTCTAACATTAATTATTATTAAGAAATTGACCAAAACTTTATAAATAGTATAATAAAATAAAAAATTGGTTTTTTAAACATTGTTATCATTACTATTATAAATTTATTAGCATAAGAAAAATATTTGTCATTGTCATAAGCAAGAATCTGTTTTGTAACTCAAAGAATTATTATCTCTAAACTATTTTTCATGTATGTCAAAATTTATCAATAAAAATATAAAGATAACATAAAAAAGACATTACCTAACATTCAAAACAATTTAAAATAAAATAATTAAACAACGTATTCCTCTCTCCTTATCGCTTTCTCTTCCATTTATCTATGGCCAAGGACAAAACATAATACCTATTTTTCAGTTTTGAGTTTTGACTAGATTAATTATAAAATTATTCTTCACGACAAATGACTTATTTACCATTTTAGCCAACTAAAAGGTTTGTAAGGTTGTGTGAAGTACGGTGACAGAGAAGAATATCAAAACAGCGGAAAGAGAATGGGTGCCACAGCGGCGTCGTTTCAACCCCGTCTCCTCTCGACCTTCGTCGGCGACACGAGCTTCCTCTCGCCGGCTAATTCACTCCACCGCCTTTTCCCCGGCAAACCAGGTGCACTCATACTCTCTATTTTTCTTCTCTATGTGTTATCCGGTAAAACGCACACCAACTGTTTGCTAGAATTTCACAGTTGCACTTCCCCTGCATCCTTATGCGCCAGTAGTGCCCCTTAGATTAAAACGAGTAGGCTAAATAGTTATGCCTATTCACTTATCCGCAGAATAAGCAATGATCACAATAAAGAGAACTAGTAGTTCTTGACATACCTATTTGACTGAAATGATTTATACCAAATTTAGATTCGACCATGATTCATATCAGCTACTAACCCTTTCGGTCTTGTTTGTTATGCTGCTTATCACTGTTGTCCATGGTTTGTTTATAAAATGGATAGCTGTATTTGTTCCCATTTCCAGTTTACATGGTGCGTCTCTCAATGTAAATCCTGTTGCTATTTGACGGGTACAACGAAGGGGATATGAACAGCCTCGACTAGGAACGAAAATAAATTTATCCGAATTCATATGTTTATTTGGATTATTACAATAAATAATTGAAATAAAACCCTAGCCGGAGCACTAAGTGATCGGAAGCAAGGAGGAGATGACCGAACTGAGTGTCTGACGGGACCAACTTGCTGATGCATTGAGAAAAAGACGGCAGTGACGGTCACAAAATAGAATGAAATCAGAATGCGAGTAGTGTGGACAACTAACTGGAGCAGTGAACTTCTTGAAGGAGACAGTACCTGAAACAGGAAATAGAAGATTGGAATTGTCGGATCTCCTCTCAAGGTAGAATTGCCCGCCGATCGTACTGCTTAACGTGGACACTCACTATCGTGCTAAAGTGTTGTATAAACGCACTTAGCACCTACACACAAAAGTTCTGCTACAACACTTGCCGACCGAAAATCGTATGTGAGAAGGTTGGAAGAATTTTAGACTGTCTCTCTGCTCTCTTTTGGCATTCAGGAAGATGCCCAGAATTAATAGGCAACAAGAGGCTCTTCAATTTTCAAAATAGAAAGATTAATGAGGTTGAATGATCACTTATGATCTTTAGTGCCGCCCGTTATAGATGCCAGGTTCAAATCCTTTCCCAAAAGATTGGAGATTAATGACCACTTAACTTCGAAATTGGAACTAATTTGAACAAAACCTATAAGTTGGTATAAGGTTTATCCAAAAAGAATAATGCCATTGCCTTCGAGCTCGGAGAACGGAGCCGATATAATTTGCCTAAACACCTAGAGCCCAAGGCCCATGGCCGTGGAACGTGGGTGACTGGGTGCCGTGCCGAATGGACCGCGACGCACACATAAGCTTTCTTTTTGTAGCCCCCACAAAGCTTTTTATTACGAATTGCTCCCACTGATATATTGGAGCATTTATGTGGTAAGTTTCCCATGGGGGACAAGTCCACATAAAACTTCATCTTTTTTTTGCACTCAACGGGTCAACCTTGAGAATCAATTTCTCATTCACCCGATCACCAGTTTTGGCGTATAATATATCAAAATGTTCGTCTCACTTAGGGAGAACACATGCCCATTAATTAACGGTCAAAACCGTTAATGGATCCCATTGATAATCATGTTTAAAGTTGGTCACTTAAATGCCCAAAAATACCAACAAATCCATGGTTTATAAAATCCAGGCGGTTTTCCAAAGATCTTAGATCCACCAGTTTTATGGTTTTCCATGGTTTATAAAATTCAGTTCCCATTATACATTTATACCCATCTTTTCTTGCATTCATATTAAATCATAAACTATCTGAGCAAACCATAACATTGTATGGTAGTTCTTATTTTCCTAGGTGCCAGGCCTCCCTTAGCGGTCTATGATTTCCTCCCACCCAAGACCGTCTAGGCCTCACCCCTACCTAGACACTAGGCTCTAGTCTACTTCCTAGGCGATGCATAGCACTCTTTAGATCACTGATTATGTTTATACCCCATACATTAGCTTTATATACCATACCAGCTTTCTAGACATGATTACCATACTAGTCCAGTAGCATACCATACACTATGTAACCATGCTGCATCCAATCCAAACAAGGCCTTATCAAACATGCTCCTAAACCTATATAGGTACTGTACATGGCTATAGGCTTCTACTTGGTACATCTTGTCTAATTTGTCTTAGAATGAGCATGAGGTTCGCCTTCAAACTTTCAACTGTTATTTTTCCCTTTCAGGAAATAAACATTTACTGATGCAAAGAGCGAGAACTTTTTCGGGATTGTCAAATTTCTTATTTAACAGAAGGTTTGCCATTTTAGCAATATGTACACTTATGCGACATTCTTATTCTTGGATTTGCTCTTACCAATGTTGAAATCCACAATATTGGTGCATTTATGGAATTAAAGTAGGACCTAGACAATAGATTACTATAATCATTTTTTTCATGGTATAATGCTTACTAGTAGGGTAGTAGTTACTGTGGTCACAAACTTTTTCTTCAAGTGACTTTTTGTTTTGAGGAAAGTGAATTGGTTTTTGAAGGGGAGCCTTGGCGCAACGGTTGAGTTGTTGCCGTGTGACAGTGTAGTCACGGGTTCTGAGTTCTCGAAGCAACCTCTTGCAGAAATGCAGGGTAATGTTTGCCTACATTACACCCTTGTGGTGGGACCCTTCCCCGGACCCTGCTCGCAGGGACACTTTGTGCTTCTTCACTCTTCATTCGCTGAATTTACTTTTTTTTCCATTTAGATTAATTAAGACTTTAACTCTTTTAGTATGTCTACACTCTACTGTCCAAGAATTCTCTCATGTTTCTGTTCTTGATTTCTACCAAAATTTCCAGAAACATAAATGCTATTCCTAATGGCAAGCGTGAACCTTTGAAGCCAGGAAAAGTCTCTCCTTGCAGACCAGTTCCTGATCACATACAAAGGCCCCCATATGTGAGTTCTAAGAAACCGCCTAAGGTTTCCAGTGTACCTCAAATACAGGATAAAAATGGAATTGAGAAGATGAGAGCTTCTGGAAGGCTTGCTGCACAAGTCCTTCAGTATGCAGGGACCCTAACCAAGGTGGCATCTAATGAGTTCTTTATTCCTTTTTTTCGTTTATCATAATGGGGGAAAACAGAAACCATAAATTGGGCATTTCATATTAGTTTACATGCTGCCATTTATGCTTAAAGTAAATGCACTGAGATCAACGTGTGACCAAATTTTCCAATATTATCATATTAAACAAATGGTTTATTGATGAAAAAAATTCTGCCCTATGTTTCCTTTGGGCTCGTTTGTTAGTCTTTCTTTTTTCAATGTTTTTTTTTTGAATTGTTAAATTGATGCTTCTATATCCAAAAATTCTCTAGCATTTTCTCCTATACCGTTGGGAATACTGTGTGAACTATCCATGTACATGGGTCAGACAGCCTCTTCATCACCTTCCAAAAAATTCTCGAACAAATTCGGATAATTTTGAAAATGAGTGAGCAGTAAATCAGGATCATCTGCATAAAGTTAGAATCATGGTACCCCACACTCATTTAAATCTTGTAGCTAAATCTCATGGCAGCCAGGCATCACAACGGATGAAATTGATCAAGCAGTTCACGAGATGATCATTGAAAATGGAGCATATCCATCACCTCTTGGTTATGGTGGTTTTCCAAAGAGTGTATGCACCTCTGTGAATGAGTGCATTTGTCATGGAATCCCTGATTCAAGGCCACTTAAGGTTTGCTATATATTTTAAATTTTTCTTTAACTTTTAAGGACACTATATCTGATATTTCTCTGGTCAACCACTTATGTTTGATGCTATAGGATGGAGATATAATCAATATTGATGTTACTGTGTATCTTAAGGTAAGTTTCTGTGGTGTTATTCATATCTCAGTATTGGCTATTTTGCTGTAAGCTAGATGGACCCCACACTCATCAATGCGTTTAAAGTTATACCATGCTGTATAGAGTGATTGCACCACTTGCATGTACTTCGTATATCATTATAGTGTCTATTTGATTTTTATATACAGGGCTACCATGGTGATACATCAGCTACTTTTTTTGTTGGAGATGTTGATGAGGAGGCCAGAAACCTGGTACAGGTAGTTTTGTTTGGGAGATGCACATTCTTATTTACATGTATTTTCCCCCTTTTACTAGGAACTGTTACACACACACACACACACTGATCCACACACTAGAAGCATGACCGGGCCCACTTAAAATCAAAGGTTCTGTGTTCTCATGGTTTTGCTTTCGTGGTTGTCTAGTTTCTTCTTACTTTGATTCTCGGTTCTATCTGAGCTTAATTTTGAAACCCATTGGAGTTTTTAAATCATATCTGCGGTTTCAGGCTTGCTTGTGTCAAAGCATCAGGGTATCAGTTTGTGCCTTGTTCAGTTTGATTGGTTTCAATAAGTCAAATTTGCTAACAAGCCATTTCTATTAAGACATCATTATGGGAAATAAAGAGCACATTTTTCAAAATGCAGCTGTATTTTGAGTAACTAGACTATTATTTCTTATGCTAGGCGCATCATGCAATGCAATGTACACATCTACATTCTGCACATTTGTTCTTATCATTACCACTGTGCTCTCATCTCTTTGTAATTGTCTAGTCATCTAGTTATACTTCTAGGTACCATTATATCAACTGCAATTCATTTCCTCATGAATTAGGTGACCAAAGATTGCTTGGATAAGGCAATATCAATTTGTGGCCCAGGAGTAGAATTCAACAAAATTGGCAAGACTATACAGTGAGTTGTCTCCATAATTTTGAACCTGTAACACTATTATAATCTTTTAGTCATATTAAGCTTCCGTTTGGCCACATTATTTGGCTTATTCTTCTTATTAGCAAATTAGCATGGTAGTGGAATAGGTGTCCTTGACTTGCTTAAATGCTTGTTTGGCAATTTACCAAATGCTTTTTATTTGAAAAACAATAGATTCAGTCATTTCAGAGAAGTAACCTTTACCAAACGGGCTCTAAATATGTGAATATGTGATCTGTTATATATTTCGCCTTTGCTTTGCATTAACTTTTCCATATGCAGTGACCTTGCAGATAAGCATCATTATGGTGTTGTCGAACAATTCATTGGCCATGGTGTGGGACGGTTTTTTCATAGTGATCCAGTTATTCTACATTACAGTAACTTTTCTACTCCCTCCGCCCTTCTGCCCCGCTGGGATATTCCATCTTTGTCTTTTCTAGTCAAAGATTAAAAAAACTGACTTTTTTTCACTTGACATAGTTTGATGAAAATCATATCCCCTATCCCATAAAAAGTTTCCAATTTTTTTTTGTTTGTTCCAAAAAAGGTTCCTCTTTCCTTTTGAGGAAGGAATTGTGAGCAATTTCTTTCTCCTCTGCACACAAATCAATGAGACACTTTCACCTTTATTTCTAAGAGTGCCTGATCAATTGTGGAGCCTTATTTCGGGATGGAGGAAGTCTATTATTTTTTAGCTTTTATAAAAGTATTTTCTACCCATATTCGATGTGCGTGATACTTTCTCCCGGCCTTATAGGGAACAATGTCCGAGGACACATGGTTCTCAATCAGACTTTCACAATTGGTAATATTTTTGTTTCATAACTTTCCCTTACTGCATTGTCACTTCTAAATCTGTTCATCTTGTCGCCCCATGCTAATGTGTGGGTGTCTGCACAGAACCAATGCTGACAATTGGTAGCATACATCCTATAATGTGGGATGACAAGTGGACTGCTGTCACAGAAGATGGTAGCCTGTCTGCACAATTTGAGCACACCATTGTAATAACACAAGATGGTGCAGAGATACTTACTCAATGCTAATAGCTAAAGGAGGTAAGAGTGAAGCATTGCGTTGATTATGGCGCGGATATAACTGTAACATTTGATCTAAATTTTCTTCCATGAGAAAAAAAATACGAGTAATATTTAAGGCTATGTTTGGTTGGAGGGGAGGTAAAGGAGATGGAATGTGAGGATTAGAAAGGTTTTCAAAAACTTTCTAATCCTCACCATCCATCTCCTTTTTCTCCTCTTTCCCCTCCCTTCAACCAAACACAGTCTAAGACGTAAGACCCATCTTCAACCCATTATACCAAACTCAAACCTAAAATGCACTACGGACCCAAAATGCAGTAAATTACTCCAAACTCAACATCAAACTCTAATCACAATATATTCTTCTTTTCACTTCTTTTTATAGCTTTTAAATTAAAAAAATGCATTAAGCTATAAAAAGTTATATATAAACACATAAACAAAACAAAAATAATTCCCAAAAGCTACAAAAAAAAATGATTCTAGTTTCTTCCAACTTCTTCCAACTAATTCCAGTTTCTTCTAACTCCTCCGAGTTTCTTCCAACATATAACTGTCTTCGAACCCAAAAGAATAGACCCTAAGTCTTGTATATCTACACCTCCATAATTCATTAGTTCTCACTCGACTTGGTTTACTTTGTCAGATTCATCTAGTATTCTTGGCCATGGAGTCAGAGAGCTTCCATCTGATTGTCCTTGTTATTGTGACCCTACCTTAGCCATGTACGGAGCAATTCATCTTTTGCAGATATGGACTTGAGAACTTATCTCTAACGGTAATTCAACTGTTTGAATCATTGCATTTGAAGGTTGAAGATCTTCGGGGCGGGGGGGGGGGGGNTTTTGGGTTTGTGATGGTTTTGCAATAGAAGTATATACTGATGTTTGTACTCCGAAACATTTTGTCCAATTGTACATGGTGTTGTCTAATTTCCGGGTAAATTATTTCTTTGTAGTGCTCCCCATACAATTTGTCCTTTTAGGTTGTAGGTAGAGATGACAATTTCATCCTTGTCCAATGGGGATTTGGACCACCTGACTTAATAAAATGGACCCGATTCAATAAAATGGACGAAACCCCCAAAATATATTGATGATACTCGGCGATGGATGGATTGAGTGACATTGGGTCGGATATGGGTGGATGTCGATCCACCTACTCGGCCGTATATTTGTGTTAGGTTTTTAATATTTATACCAATGCTTTGTATATGTAAAGAGAACTAAGACTTCTTCTGTTGCACCAAAAAAAGGAAGGATTGTAACACCTCGTCCACACTGGTGTGTCACCCAAACTGATTCTCAATATCAAGAATTCATTTATTTTGTACAACAATGAAAAGTCATTAAATTACCAACTGCGGAAAATTAGCCTAAACATGTCCAACAAAATACATCATTGGGTTCAAACGCCAAACCCAAATGAAACTATTGAAATAAAATGTTTAATGTTTTAATGAGAAAAAGGAATGAATCAATCAAAACTTAACACATATTAACTCCGTCCCTGAGTATTTGATCGGTTTTGATTTTTTTCGGCCAACTATATCTAATATTTGACCTGGAACTAAATAAAATATACATTATATATTGATTAGATAAATAATATTTTGAAAAGTCAAAAGCGGACAAATACTCAGGGACGGAGGTAGTTTTTTTAAATTTTAATCAATCCAAATTTAACACATATACATACCTTATTACATTCCTTTACACTCATCATAGCACGCATTTTTACACTCCGTCAAGCCGCATCAAACCTGCTATAACACATGGCCTAACAGCGAACATGCCTAAGCACGTCCCTTCGGGTGTGTAGGTCTTTAGTACTTGCCTGCAGTCATCCAAAAATAATTATATACTCAAAAATAGTCGAGTGACCATTCAAAAGCCGTAATCCACATTATAAGTATGAGAATGGTAATCTTGCACCAATTAATATTGATGTACATAATACCTACATATATTAAAATTTGTATAAATCATTATTTTGAGATGTAGTAAAAGAAAAAATGATCAATAGTTTATGAAAGCCCACATAAAGTTTTCTTTTTTTTAAAAGATTAATAAAGTTTATACTCCGTAAAATCATTCTTTATGTACGAAGCATATTTTTTAAAAATATATTTGAAAATAGTGTAAGGGCACTGAAAATACCCGTGAAGCCCCGGGGTTTCAAGTCTTTTCTCTCTGCCACGTCAGCTTTAACTTACCTCACAGTTTCAGTGGAAATGAGTTTGAAACCCCTGGGCTTCAAATTGGGGCTTCAAACCTTCATTTTTAATATTTTAAATATACATATTCTAAAATTAAAGTAATAAATTATAATTATTTAATTATTTAAAAGAATCGAAAGGAGAATAGTTCATTAAAAAATTATATTCATTAAAAATATTACATCCATAAAAAATACATTCATTAAAAAAATTGCATTCATTAAAAAAATATTACATCCATAAAAAAATACACTCATTAAAAAAATTACATTCATTAAAAAATTATTACATCCATAAAACTGATTATTTGAGTGACTGAAGATATGTTCGATCAAATTCGCCGTTAGTGCATTTTGAATCTCTCGGCTTCGAATTTCTTGGCGGTTTCTTTGTGTCTTTTCTTCGTCGATTTCTTCGTACATAGGCAAACTCGTTGTCCTCTACGATCATATTATGAAGAATAATACATACATATATGATGTTCCTCATTTTTGTTTGAGAAAAACATTTGGACGGACAATCTAGAATGTGCCACTTAGCCTTCTAGATCCCAAAGGCTCGTTCAATATCTTTTCTCGTCGCCTCATGGACTTTTTTGTAAGTCTGGCGTTTAAGACCCATTGGTTCTAAGAGAGACTTGACAATCGTGGAATAATCTGGATATATTCCATCGATCAAATAATATCTGCGCTTGTAAAACGTCCCTCTAAGCTCAAAAGACGAGTCGGGTGCGGTCTCATTAATCCAATCGTCAAAAACAGGCGATTGATCGAGAACGTTGATGTCGTTGTTCGAGCCCGCTACACCGAAAAAAGCGTGTCAAAACCTCAAGTCATTTGAAGCAACATCTTCGAGCACGATAGTAGGCTTGGGATGATCCCCCCGGGAGAATTGACCATGTCAAACAGTGAGACAATTTTTCCATTCCCAATGCGTGCAATCAATGCTCCCAAGCGTGCCAACAAAGCCATGTTTAGCGGCATGCCTTGCCTGTAACTGCTGAATATCGCTCGCTGTAAGCTTGTGTAAATATCTTTTATGATAAATTCGAATAATAGCTTTAGAAAATTTATAAACACAGGACCTGATGCTCTGAGCCGACATCTTCAAGTATTCATCGAACATATTAGATGTCGTCTCGTACGCCATCTGACAAAGCGCGACAGTGCACTTCTGAACAATACTAAATCTGTGTCGCCCTCTCGCATCAAAGTGTTGGGTGAACCAATGCACCTCGCGTTTAATATCGGCGAGTATGTGTTAAAAGAAAGGACGACTCATCCGAAAACGATTACAAAAATCCTCCGGTGTATAAACACATGAAGTATTGAAGTAGTCGTTGAGAAGTGAAGCGTGGGCAGCTGCTCGATCCTGGTTTAAATGTTGTTGCCGAGTCCGGCATCGGGAGGCTTCTGCTTCTTCTTTTTTGCCTTGTTGCCACCATTGATAACAACTCGTGGTGAAACAGCGAAAATGAGAGCTCTCTTTTCATCACCGGATGAAGATGATCTCATTTTTAAAATATATATTCTAGAAATAAATATAATAAATAGAAAAATATTTGAAAGAATATTTGATAGAATTATAGAGAGAAGATAGTGAGAGATGTGTGAGAGATATGTTTGTTTTGATTGAATTTATAGATTTTTTTAATTTAATTTTTTTGGTGGTTAACGGCCAAAAGAGCCGTTGGGAAGGTGGGAAGCAAGCGTCAAAGCTTCTAGTTATATGTATTGTTAAACCTGAAAAATTCTATTTTTGTATTAATTATTTTAAAACAAAAGTTCTGTATTGTGGTCTTAAGGTTCAAATGTGAAATGCGAGTCTTCTCACAAATTTTTCATGAACTCATAGTTTAGATGCCTTTGTTTTTTTAAGGCCAAATATCTATTTGTCCCTAATATTTTATGTTTTAAGGTTTTTAAAATGAATATAGACATAACGATTACAAAAGCTTTTAAAAGCAAATGAAGTAATATGAACCAATGGGTCTTATTTTTATTCATAAAATCATTAAGAATCACCGCTCTTGTAATTTTTTTGTTCATAATTACCAACTAATTAATGTTATTCTAAAATAAATACAATCCCAACCGTAAGTGATTGGATACCAAAATATTTGATTCTTAATTCACTCGAGGTTATTGTAACATTACCATACCTACCTTAAAAAGCATATTATTCAAAAGTGATATAATAATAAAATATTAGGCCTTTACTCAAGAATAATGGAGAATATAAAAAGTATGCATAAAAAAATATTCTGAATACAAACTGAAATCAAGTCAATAATAGAAGCTGACTAATAGACATAAAATGTCATAAGTAATACTACCATAAGTAATACTATTATTATTATTATTACTATTATTATTATTATTATTATTATTATTATTACTACTTTTATTATTATTGTCTAACAAAAACTGCACCAACCAAACCAAAGTAACATATGTACTCTGATGTTAACATTCCATATAAAATTTGCGGAATCAACCCATAACCCATTTTTTTCATTAAAAAAAAGGAGGAATACCGAGTTATAGAATTCCCACAAATAAAGTTGAAACATTTTTTTTTCATTTTATTTTTTCTCATTATTCAAAAAAACTTCTTACTCTTGTTTCTTTTAAAGTAAATACGGAGTTATTTTATTTAATTTTTTCTTAAATTACGTGAAAAAATAAATAATTTTTTTTAACTTTGACGTAGTGAAATTAAGTAATTTTTTACTGACAAGAAAAGTACCCTCTCCCTCAATATAAGAAAAAAGAACAAAACTTACCAGGCCGCCCAAGCGCCCACGTAGGGTAGCTTTTTAGATGGTCGAGGACTCGAGGAGTGTTAAGTTCGAATTTTCGAGTCGATTCTTAATAGCGGCAGCGTGAAAATTTTAGGGAGAAAGACCAAAGTAAGACTAAAACATTGAAAATATACTAAAATAAGACCTCCATGTTTTTATTTTCGAAATAGAACTTAAAATGCATTTACATTACGAAACATTGTCATGTTCATTACCAAAAAATATATGTAATGTGCACGTGTACAATACCACATTACGACTGTGCGAAGTCTTATTTCGAGAAAAAAAACATACAAGCCCTATTTTGGTACTTTTCTTTATGTTTTAGTCCTATTTAGGATGAATTCTAAAAATTTTATATAGCTTTTTGAAGAACAAAACCCTGCTGATTGGTCACGTCAGCGTCCAAAGTCCTTGAAGAAAGAAAGAATAAAGGCACACCAAAAGTCGTTTTCTTGAGGGGTAGTCTTGCAATTTGCGGGCCAATAAGGGCATTTCGCATTTTTGTCTCCTTCTCCTCAGTTGTTTCTCCTTTCAGAGGGGCATTATTCATTCATTTATTCCATTCATTCGCTGCAAAGAAGAAGAAGAAGAAGTCCCCATGACTGGAACAAGTGAGATATTTTGGGGCGAAAGCTCATAGATTGCAGATGGTTTCTTGGTCTTTGCAGACATGGGCTTCCTTAATATGACTATTAAGACCCACTTTTCCCTTTGGTAAACTTCGCCGCTCTCTCTTCAACTTGCAGCTTTTTCACTCTCCGATCATCGTTTTGGCATCACTTTTCCGAGCCTT